CTCCCAAAAATGTGGCTTTATCAGCTGGGTCAGACTTATTGAGAATTCTGGGTATTACATATTTTCATGAGTATGTAATATCTATTAAAGATTAAGTAATCGTATGAAGAATAATAAGTAGTGGTTCAACTCAGTGACCACTGACATACGAACCATAAAGTCCAGTTGCCAAACCCCACTTTAAGCCTTGACATGGAAATATAGCCCACCTAATGTTTATTGGTGGATTATATATCTTCTATATGTGTAGATCCAGAATTGGGGAAATTTATTTATTCACGATGGCCGACATGAGACGGTTTCTGGTTATTTAGTGGGGTAAAATATGTGGCAGTTGCTCTCGGATCTCGGTTTGAATATCTTTCTAGAAGAATTCGACCCGCTGAATCCAATGAGCTAGGGTATTCCTCCTGAAAGTGATGGCTAATTCCGCTAGAGGGCCAAATTCAAAATGGAGGCTCATTTTAGAGGGAAACTCGTCAAGTTCACTAAAAAGTTGTGCAATATATTGAAATGTAGGTTTTGAGTGGATTATATGTCTTTAATATGTGTAGATTCCAAATCTGGGTAATGCCACCCTGGCACCATTCGGGAAATTTAAATATTCAAGATGGCCGACATGAGACATTTTCTGGTTATTTACTTTAATTTAGTTGGATAAAAGTCGGGACAGATTCTCTCGGACCTCGGTATGAAGCTGGTTTCTATCGTAATTCCAGGTTGAGGTCATATTTAAAATGGCGGCCAATTTTAGCGAGACATAACGATGTTATTAATCTTTTAAACTATAAGTTTTCTGATTCGCCCGATGGTTGATTCTGTTTGACCGTGTACAGAATATCATCGGATTGGAATACCTTTTGGTCGAAACATGTTTTTTATGTTTATATTTGAAGTAATTGACAACGAAAACCTATATTTCAATATATTACACGCCGTTTTAGGAAACATTATGAGTTTCCTTCAAAAATGAGCCCCCATTGTGAATTTGGCTTCCTACTGGAATTAGCAGTCAGTTTTAGGAGGAACACCCAAGCTCGTCGGATTCAATGGGTCAAATTCTTATAGAAACTACCTTCATACCAAGGTTCGAGAGAATCTCTCCTGAATTTTACCCCACTAAATTAAAGTAAATAACCAGAAAATGTCTCATGACGGCCATCTTGAATATTAAAATTTCCCCAGAGTGGCATCATCCTTCAGCTTATGTAGCCTTGTTGTGGGGCGTGACATTTTGGGCTTTTTTGTCATTGGATACCCCACGAACAAATTGTCATTTAGTGGTCATTCTTGATTCCTGTGGTGGCGCTGAACAACCCCCAGTTTTAGTTGGTACCGACTTCAGCTAATCGAGCCTAGTTGCGGGGCGTGGCAATTTGGCCGGTCGTCAAGGGTACCACACAATCTGTAGATCGTACGGACTTCAACTAATCTAGCCTGGTTGGTGGAGGGGGGTCGTGGTATTTTGGGCGTGTCTGTCAGGGGTAAACCATCACACAAACTGTCTGGCTGTGGTCATTCTTGATTGATGTGGTGGTGCTGAACAACTTCCCAGCAGTTTTAGGTAGTACGGGCTTCAGCTAGACTAGCCTAGTTGGGGGCGTGGCATTTTTGGCGTGTCTGAGAGTGTTAGGGGTAAACCACCGCACAAACTGCCTGGCAGTGATCATTCATGATTCCTGTGGTGCTGAACAACTTCCAAGCAGTTTTAGGTGGTACGGGCTTCAGCTAATCTAGCCTAGGTGGGGAGGGGCGGGGCTGGCATTTTGGGCATGTGCTTTAGGGGTAGCCCACCGCACAAAATGTCTGGAAGTGATCACTCAAGATTCCCGTGGTGCTGAATGACTTCCAAGCAGTTTTATGCGGTACGGATTTAAGCTAATCTAGCCTAGCTGGGAGGCGTGGCATATTGGGTGTGTCTGTTCTGTTAGGGATAACCCACCGCATAAACTGTCTGGCAGTGATCATTCATGATTCCTGTGGTGGTGCTGAACAACTCCAAAGCAGTTTTAAGTGGTACAGATTTCAGCTAATCTAGCCTAGCTGTGGTCTGGCAATTACATAACTCTGTCGGGGGTACCCCACCACTAGAAATGTCAGTCAAAATGTTTTTGTAATACTTGAAGATGTAAGGTACACTGCTGTACCATTTTCATGTGGTACACTTTTGAGCTAATCTAGCCCAAGAATTCATGACCAGTATCGCAGCCCTCATAGCCACACCCACCACCAGATACCCGGCAGACTTACATTTTGATGATACCAGATATGCATGCTTTGATACCATATATGTGAAAGTTGGAACACTTTTCAGCTAGGCTAACCTCCTGGGCTCCTGGTCTATCAGTCAATTTCCAATATTGCAACTTTATAGAACATTTTTCCTCTTCACCTTAAAACCTAACAAACCTTAACTTCCTTCAAATCTAAATTGAAAACGTGCCTGTTTCAGAGATATTGGGATTATTATTTAGTGTGTGTGTATGGGTTGTGTCGGTTATGAGAAAGTTATATCTGGTGTAATTTTCGGTGGAAGATGTAGATCATAGATGTTCTTTTTCTAGGATGATACACTGTGCATTCTTCTTGTTTAGTTGTCATTCCCCTCTCCTGAACTATATGTTGGCGATTTTTTTTTTTCTTGGTCGACGGGTGGGTTGCTGCTAGACAGACCAGCATTTCCATGTCGGTTAATCATGTACCGCTCACTGTTAGGAATACTGATCGTCTTCTTCGGGCACTCTATTGGGTTTATGCTTGTAGAACTGGATGGATCGAGTGGAAGACTGGAGAACTGGAACAGCAGTATAACAGGGGCTGACACTAATTAACAACTGACTGTACAGTCTGTGAATGATAGTTTTGTCAAGTCCAGCGAATGACTTAACACTGTGCACGACTTTCAAGGAGAACCCAGACTGGAAAATACCGATGTATCTACTCTACCAAGAACGGCATCGAACGCGGTACCTCCTGGTTGGTGAGTGGGAGGAAACCGGAGAAAACCTACGAGGTTGGACAGGTGACCCTACTCCTTGTCACGTACAACCTGGGAATCGAAACCCCGCCAGTTGATTCAATGACAGACCTTATGATACAGCGCGCACATGCTAACCATTCGGCCATCCAACCCCCCTACTTTGTAAAGCTTCCTGTGGAGCCATATTTGTTATTCTATAGTCGACAAGCCCCAGATATAGTTTGTTAAAGAATCTGTTTTGCTATTAAAATTGTGTATCCCTTGTTATCATTAGAAGCACCCAAGGCACCTCAAATTCACTGACCATAGAGTAATAATAAATAATTTGCTGAAAAACATGCAGGTGGGGCCGCCCGGTCGGGTAATCTCCGAACGTGAATTGAAGGAGGATACTGTTTTTTCCTACTGTGTTAACTGTGTGTGCACAACGTACTTGATTCATATAGCTCCATGATTAACCTGAAGATCACAAATCTTTGCATTACTGAATACACCTTATAAAGAAATGTTTTTAGACCAAGACAGGGGAGTAAACAACTAAAGGGTAATCGTGATAATTAGACTGTGTAGAATGTGCTAATTTTCATCTAAATTGAATGAAACCGATCTACAAACAACACCATCCTTTTTCATGGCACAGGTGGCATATTCAGGACAGTAAATTGAGTAAGCTTATGCCTGCCACTTCTTAATCATTTACAAAACAGAGAATTCAATTTCTTATAGAACCACAATGGTTTTAATTTAATGTATTATTATACAAACATTTTCTACAACATTTATAATTTAAATTGTCTTTACACCATATTTAGACCGGAGGCTCGGTGCAGAGGGGGTTATGGGGTTTGGGGGGGGGGGGGTCCGTCAAATGGGCACAAAACCAGACCCAACTTTTCGCAATAGTTTCTTTATGTATAGCAATCGTTGTGAAACTAAATCAAAGAGTTTTTTGAAACAGGTTTCGAAGTGTTTTGGTTCTGTTATGCACGATCTTTTTCGACCTTCTAAAGTAAATGTACGGTGCTATGACCACCTAAAGATATGTTTTAAATGTTCCTTGTATTAATTAGAACAGGTTTAGCTTTAGTTTTTATATTTTACGCTGACATTTTATTGCTATAAATCTTCTTAGTGCAAAAACTGACAATTTGAACTTTTGGCCTCCAGGGTCACAAAGAACAAAGGTAAATTTAGCAAGTTAACATTTTTATTGAAAGGTTGATTACTTTTGATCATTTTCAGCATGTTTTCGAGATACAAGAATGGCTGAACATTCACTTTCAGTGCAAATGACGTAATTTGAATTTTGACCCCGAATATCTCGAAAACGAACCAACGGCGCACTGATTACCACTCGGCATCATATTCTACGCAAAATTTTACTCTAGAAAAGTTGGGTCTGGTTTTGTGCCCATTTGATGGACACCCCTCCGCAACGACCCTCCAGACTCATAGGCGTAGAAGCTCAAAGTAATTCAGGGGGGCATAAGAGAAAATTGCCCGAAATCAATACCGTTTTTTCGGGCATACATATCATAAGAGAGCTTCGGGCATATTTTCGGGCATGCAGTGGACAAGAAAAGACGAGAAAATACTTTTCAGGCATTGTGGATCTCATAGAAATAAGTTAGTTATATTTTTTCTTTAAACGTTAATAGACAAAAAAGGTCGTGGAATTTTTCATTGCCCGTATGTTCAGACTAATTACCCAGCACCCGTTTATGAACAAATTTTACTTTCTATACCTCAAGAAATCACCCAAATTGTTTTGTCATCATTTACAGTATACTGAAAATTGTGAAATTCCTTCTAGCTCACACCATATATCTGATGTATTCTATCAGTACATAATTTCTGCATCATTTATATAATGAAGAATAATATTCCTCTTCCAACTCGTATAAATCAGATGACATTTCATCACGTAACAACATCAGGTTATTATCAACTTCCGTCTGCATTCGCTTGTAAAGTTGGCAACTCTGTGATATGGATTCGTTCACTGATGGAAAGTCATTTAAAATTAAAAATTGTTTAATGTCTGATGTTAACTTCATTAAAGATTCACCTGCCCTTACCTGTAAGATAAAGATATAAAATGTGTGAGTTACAGCAGGGCTTTGAATCATCTGAGTTTTTGGATTTGATTACCACTATGAATCTACATCACAGGGATTTGAACTATGTGATAATCAATTTCATTGTTATTAATATCTGATTTGGCTACTAGGCAGTAAACAGTAGAAGTCCTACTATTTCAAGACTATGTTTGAGGATGGCCCAAAAATACATCACTGTTAACATGTGAGATGGACAAGACATTATCTGCACAGTAATGAATAATGTCAAAAGGAAGTGTGACTGATATCCTTTTATTGTTATTGATTTGAAATATGTGATTGTGATGAGAGAAAAGGGTTTCTTGAATCCCTTTGTTGAAAAATCCTCTAAAATTGCAAAAAAGTCAGTAAAAATTGGACTTTTATAAGAGAATGAAATGGGGTATTTATTAGGTGTTCTAGAAAGAGCAAACACAGCCTTTCAATGCAAAGTTTTTAAAATAAATTATAACATTTACAGTATTAATGATTGTTCTATTGTAAACTCATCGGCGGATCTAGAAGGCGGGTGGGGGGGGCGGCAGGGGATTAGGGGTTGGCATCATGCATTGTCAACAGTCAAATTTACTTAACAATGATGACCTATGGCCCAAAAAAGATACATTGTCTCGGGAACCTGGCAAATAGAAATTGAAGTTTATCAGTAAATAACTACTATAGTCAAGACCTGTTGATATCATCTCTATGGTTACACTTTACAAATCCAATCATCGCATTGAATGTTTTTTTTTACAAAAACTAAATGTTAATTCTAATATATGAATGTTTTAAGTGCATCTTTCCAACAAGTAATTTATTCTGGAATATTACTGACATGAACTTCAAGCTGGTACCTGAATTAAATTTTCAAAAGGTGTACCTGTCCTTATTTTTGTGGTAATAACATACATTAAAATATGACATTCTCCATAATAAATTACCAAGAATTATTTTTGTTGCAGTCTAGTTATATTAAAGGGAATGTAAGCTTATAATTAACCCATTTCCTATGGGACATCATTTGACCCAATTCTGGCCGGTTGGTTTGAAAATGGATTAAGAACCCAGGTTTGAAATATGACAGAATATACCAGGAAAAGGTAAATTCTTAGATACAGAAAAGATAAACTTAACTTACAATATTAGCTGCGCGTACTTGCATTTCATACTGATTTTGTTCACACTGTGTTGGTCGACTAATTTGAGTTTCTTCTTCCACCTGTGGAAACAAAGTTAATGTTGGAAATTAATTACAGATAATACAAGGCACCAGAACTACACGGCAGCATATTAGTATACAAAAACAATAACTAAGAAATACAAATTTTGTTCCAGGCTTTCAGCTCCTGTATGATAATGTTAACACTAAACATCTTCAGTCACTAAATGTGTACTATATTTTGGATCACTTTTGTGTTACTATTTTTACCAGCAGATTGGAAAGATAGGTTGCCAGGTAACAAAAAACATACACTCACAGCAGCTAAGTTCTCCAAACAGGCCACAAAAGGTGTTGCACTGTGAATATTAGGTAAACAGTGAGGCTGATATCCTCTGCCACAATCCCAGAATAAATAGAGGACACATTAATTAATTGCACATTTATCTTTTTCAAAAGTATCGAGCGATCAAATTGATTATCTATATACTTTGTATAAGCAGAAAATGTTCAGTCAAGGTTTTGAATTACCTTGTAGTGAAACTATCCCTCTCCATCAGTGAGAAAGAATCGAAGTTATCTTGTATAAAGCATCAACCAATGAAATTACTTATCTCTGCTTGGCTTTAGCGGAAAATGTTAATCATTGAACTCAGTCAAGACATTCACCTAATGAAAATCTACACGAAGTTGAAAAATCTAACTAAATTAAAAGCAGAGTTATGTTCCAAAGTCTTGACCAATCAAATTGCTTATCGCTGCTTAGCCTAAGTGGAAAATTCTCATCTTCAAATTTAGTCAATGTACATGTACTGATATAATGAATCTGTACTATAAGTTTTATCACTCTCACCCAATTAGAACCAAAGTTAGCGTGTTCCAAAGTCTCAACCAATCAAATTGCTTATCTCTACTTAGCATAGGTTGAAAATGCACATGACCAAACACTGTCAAGGCATTCACCTAATAAACACTTACACCAAATTTGAACATTCTACCTCAATTAGAAGGAGAGTTATTGTGTTCCAAAGTCTCGACCAATCAGATTGAAGTCTCTACTTAGCTAAGCAGAAAATGCTCATCATCTAACTTAGTCAAGATATTGATGTAATGAAACTATACACCAAGTTTCATCACTCTCACTTAATTAGAACCGATGTTATCATGTCCCAAAGCATCAACCAATCAAATTGTTATCTCTGCTTAGCCTAAGCAGAAATGCTCACCCACGAACTCCATCAAGGCATTCACCTAATAAACACCTACACCAAGTTTGAACATTCTAGTTCAATTAGGCCGACAGACGGAAAGACCCATTTTAATAGACCCCTGCTTTTTTCGAAAGATGGGGGCAAATAATAAGTAAAATCTTTACACTTTATAATATCATTGTTGCTTTGACAAGATTCTATGAAATAATCAAGGGCAATAATTCTAACATCATTTCAATGAATAATGTATATAAATTTAATGCTTATTTGATGATAATTTTTGTCATTAGAACTTTCAATGGATTGTTGAAATTTGAATAATGTATATAACTCTCCAAACAGATTGGATGATAACTTTTGTCATTAAAGCGTTCCCAAGAACCTACAAAGTGAAACAAGAGCCATAACTCTACAAGTAATTAACAGAAATTGTTAAAATTTCATAGGCTTCTTAATTTCACAAATTTAAATCATGCATATATTTTATAAAGATCAGATTATAACTTTGTCTTTAAGAGCAAAACAAGGGCCATAACTCTAGATGTAATATTAATGGAAATTGTTAGAATTCAATATACTTCCTCGACTTACTATTGTAAACAACATTTAAGCTTATACAATTTAAGAAGTTAGGATGATAAAGACATTGGAGACGATGGATGGTAGCCACGGTAATATACAATATTTCAATGTGGGTGTATAAAAAAGGACCTATATTTTTCAAAGAGAAACTTACGGTCGAATTTTTAGATCTGAAACTATGAGTCCTGCTCAAAGGCACTGGTGCCGTAATCACCCTAGTATAGCAAACATAAAATTGTCTCTTACTGCAAGACAGCTCAAGAATGATGGGTTTCCGATCTATAAATAATCGAACCAGAGAGACTAAAATGGTAAAACACCAACCCTGTTTTTAACTCAAATTATTAAGCTTTCCATTTCGACAAATAATATGGCTTTAGCATAGATCAAGTTTATGCAAATGTATGATCTCAGTCCAGTTAAAATTACATTGGGGGGGGGGGGGGAGTCTAGTTATTAAAATGTTCCATTGGTAGAACAATAGGATTATTATTATTAGAGGAAGTCTTGAAAAATGCTCTTCTTTTAGAAACCAAATTATGTTGGTTAAAGTGTTAACAAATATACATATTTTGTTGGTAGGGGCGGTGTATAGACCTATAAAATTGTAATTTTAAATGGAATAGCCCTAAGCCTATCTAACATAATGTGCAATTTTGGTACACAAGTACAGTACATATGCATCCTTTCTAATATAATCACTTGTGTGTCAAAGGCATAAAACAAAATAGTATTCTGATGAGTTTAAATGTCTTGTAATCCATAGATATCACAATTTTAGTCTATTTGGTGAACAAAAGATCATACAGTCTTTAAAAGGTTCAACAATTGTAAACAAAACTGCCAATTATATTACTTTCAAATATGGCTATGTGGATCTTATTTTATAAAGTACAAAGCCTGTCTTTTATGAAATGCTTGCAATTAAATAGTGCTCACACAAATATAAACGAATTTTAATATGACTTATTTGTTCCTCAGAAGTAAACACTAAAATGTTAATTTTATTTCAAAAATTAATCTATAAAATCCATTTTCCATTTATTAGGATTCAGTCCACCCATTATTAATTGATTAGTCTTCTATGTAAATTTTTATATTCAGCATATACATGATACACAATGACATGGTTTACAATGACTTACATGTATATAAATAAATGAATCATAAGTACATTGCATACATCAATCCCTTCCAACATGCAACACAATAGTAGATTATTAAAGGAGTAATCCCAGATACAAGTGAATACCAATCACCTTGTGCCTGGATATTTCTGTTTATAACTCATGTGTGCATAATGACAACTTTCTGCTATACTTTCTGGCAAACAATACAATTTTGTAGGTTTCTTCTGTGTTTAAATTATCTCTTTGCAAAGTTTACAAACAATATCAAATTGTCTATTTATTATAAACTATTCTTACAATCATTTACAAATAGTTTAATTTTTGAAAATACGTTATTTCTTCAAACTTTGGCATTGAACTTATTTTTTGAAGAAATAGTGAAAACCGGGACTTCTCCTTTAAAACATTATGTTCATGAGATATGGAGTGAAAGATAGGAGCAACAAAATAATATTGATGAAGATGAGGACAACGTAAGAGTATAATATGGTTGTGGCAAAGGTAGGAAACTGAAATAAATGATGATGATGCTGATTTATTAGTTACATATAAGTGATCCCGGAGATTCAAAAAGAAATTCTGATAAAGAAAATATAAAATTAATGTACACTTGATGTGAATTTTAAATTGTTCATTTCTTTGAGAATAAGCACTGAATATTTAACTTCAATGAAAATACAAGGCAGATATGTAGATTCAAATTTAGATAAGAGGTGCCATTTTATATTTTCTTCTATAAAATTTCCTTTTCAATAAAATTTAGCCTTTTACCAAATGATTTTACTTCCATCAACATTAACTCAATCCTTTACAGTGAATTATCGGATCAAGATTTCAGGTTATCAAGATATAATCTTATATAAGATCTCCCTTTTCAAAATGATGGAATTTTAGATCCAGTTGATCGGGGATTATGGGTATTGATGATTTTTAAATCCTTTAAACTTTAAAGGATTTAACGTCACAAGTTTTTCGTCACTTTTTTTAAAAAGATCAATAACATTTCTAAATCCATCTGAGGTGAAAGAGAGGTCTGATATTTTGAAATAATCAAGATATAAGTTATAACCTTTGACCTTTGAACTAAACTTACCACAGAAAAAGTTGAAGATGGTGTACCTTCCTTAAATCAAAATCACATAAAAAGGGCTATACATGTATTTGTAAAGTATTCAGTGTAACATTTAATCACATAGGTTTGATAGGTCAACAAATTAAGTATAAACAAGCCAACAGTAAAGCTGATGTACCCTGCATAAATCCCAAAATATTGATGTAATTAATAAGCTATCTATCTATACACCAAGTTTATCAGTCAGCATAACTCTGTCAGGGTATTGATTCATGTATATAATTTAAGCATATTTATTGTGTCCCAAAGTCTTTACCAATGAAATTGCTTATGTCTGCTTAACCCAAGCAGAAGATACTCATCATCAAGCTCAGTCAAGGCATTCACCTGATGACATTCTAGCTCAATTGGAAGCAGAGTTATTGTGTCCTAAAAAATGTGACAGACAGGGTCATTTTAATAATCTGTTGCTTTCTTCGAAATGCAAGGGACAAAAATAACAATTTTCTATATTATATTTACATATATAATGTAAAGATGCAAGAATGGATGTCAATATGCCATACATGTAAAATATTGGAAGAATGGTAATCTATAATGGATGATTGTAAATCACGTGTTAGCGATACACTTTAATCTAGTAAATGTTTTCACGATTGTGTATATTATACAACACAAATCAATTTTAAAATCTCATATAAATCTGTGAAAATGCAACAATATGCCAAGGCTGACACCTGAACACAAAGAACATGCTATTAAATTGAGTCAATGCAAGAGACCATGAGTACCAGATCTGTTGCTGATTATTGGATGACAAAGCATGACAACACCTCGACGAGACCTGCACATCATTATTCAGAACCACAACCTACCAGCTGACATGGGTTCATCAGTGCTAACACTGTTTATCCCCGACTATGCTGTGCCAGACTGAGTGCCACACACTGGGGCAATTCTGCCATTAACATCAATGTTTAGGCAGGGCAATGCATCACCATTCACCAACAGTGGTGATTACAACAATGGCATGAATCCAGATTCCAGATGAGAAAGACCGAGGAGAAAGTGTTACTGTGGCATGGACGTGGTAAACGCTACAACAATGACTGTACAAATGAGCGTTGGGGTGCATGAAGTGCTACTATTACAGGAAAGAGGCAGAAGGAATACCCAGTACTACATGCACAATGACACTTTTTAGACATCATCAACTTCTGCACACATTTCAGCATTAATGCTTGAGCATGCACAACACATATCTCAAAGGACTCTCTCCTGATTTCTCACCAATAGAGCACCTGTGGGCCAATATTTGATGTCAACTGTCCCAGCATCCCCAAATACAAAATCTCTAGCAACTGGAACGGGCGTGGAGACAGATCCAACAAGCAGCCATTTAGAAGTTTATCTCTCCCATGTGGCTATGTTGCACAGTGGGTCTGGCTGTTCAAGGTGTCTTATTTTACTGACTTTTCGTCTTTGCAACTTGTTATGACCTAGGATTGTTGTTGATTTTCTTATATCGGTGAATGTTCAATCTACAATCATGCCAAAAACAGATTTCAGCTGCAATTTTCATCTCGCCAGCACTTCCAATCAATTAAGAGATGAGTTTCATAGCGTCTCAGTATATTTGTCCATTCTTTGACGGATATTCTTGAACTGGGTCTGATCTGTACTTAATTTTGACAAGTATTTTATATCTAAGATAAGAATACATATAAGAATGTTATATGGGTCTGAACTGTACTTAATTTTGAAAAGTATTTTATATCTAAGATAAGAATACATATAAGAATGTTACCCTTGCTAATTTCATGATCTCTGTAAAGTTGCTTAACATGGACTGAATGTCATCTGTCAGGTGTTTTTTGTAAGATTTAAGAAGAGCATCTTTACTTTGAGGTAGAGTTCTTGGCGTTGGTTGAGCCATATTACATTAAATCACTTCAAAAAACCAGAATTCCTAAAAAAAAAATAATCGTGGGAGATAAAGTTACATTTATAGATAATGTCTATTAACATTTCAGGGACTAAAGGCAAAAAGAAAGATTAAAGAATAAACAGATTCAGGGAGGCCGTTCATCATTGCATTGACTATTCAATCTATCGGCAGTAGTATAGTTATTGAACGCAGATTGCCTCTCACAGACAGATTACACCTGCGCATGCGGCTATTCTCTAATTTCTGTTGACTAATCTGAGTCCGCGGGGAGTTAACTCTGTCCAAGGTATGTAATGGATTACCGCGATGATAATCTGCCTAATCCTACTCAGTATTCACAATGAATCACTGCGTTAGTATTATTCGTTTTAATGAATTTTGTGACTGTCAGTTTACTGGTACAGGTATAAGCACGACAGCATCTACAAATAATTAAACCACCATCAATTTAATCAAAATCTTTAAAAGGTATATTTATGTCTGAGGATTTATGTCCTCTTAATCTTAACCAGAATTAGGAAACACGTAAGCTACACTGCACTTTGATAAAAAAAAAATCAAAAATCTGCCAACTGTTGGTTATAAATGTATTTATTTCAAATATACAAAAATAACACGAACTTTATGGTAATTACAGCAAATATTTTTGGACATTCAGTCAATTGATCAGTTGACATATATAAATAGCGAAGATTATGAGATACTGCGGACTCGAATTTAAATCTTATTCTTTGCAGTTTGCACACACGCTAATCCATGCAGTGATATGGAAATTTATTTTAAAAATCATTACAGTTACAGTAAAATGTTGATGACAGATTCCTACAGACTCTGCGCAGATTGCAATCTTCCCGAGGAGTGCAGAATGCGCCCAACATTGTTACTATACTTTAAACATACATTATGAAAGAGCTAAATCTGCCTATTGTAGGTCTTCCTTTCGGCCTGAAATGTTATCTAAATTATTAATTAGACATTAATTAACTTATCCAGACATTAATTAACTTATCCAGACATTAATCAACTCTCGATGTCATCCCTGGTCTGCAATATTTACTGGATTAAGATTCGATTTGCTGCTCAACCTTTATTCATGATTTAATCATGAAATGGATAATCGAGACTATGTTTTTTATCGTACTGACTTTAGTAATGATGATCGAAGCTAGGCCGAATATTCAATCGCTAAATTCTCGGTTTAGAGTGGATCAATTTGACAGAAATTTTCAGGAAATTCCCTTTATATTATCTGGTTTTTAACTAGTATTATAGTGAAAACTGCCAGCTCTTTATCTAATCTCCCATCTATCTTTAACAGGAGCAGGTCGTTTCATCCCACTACCGGTTCATCTCGGGCTGTTTCATCCCAAATTTACAAGGGTCCTTTCATCCCACTTATATCGAGTCGTTTCATCCCACAAATTTAAAAACAGGTATTACATAAATTTTTAATATTTTATTTATACATTAATATCAATAACAATATGTCAATGCAATTTTATCATAAATAGTGTCCAACTTCTTCCTTTGCATACGCTTTAGCTTATTTTCCGAATATTTTATTTATAAAATATGTCAATGCAATTTTAACATGAATAGTGTCCAACGTCTTCCTTTGCATATGTTTTAACTTATTTTCCGAATCCACACCAATTCTTGACACCAATTTCACTAAAATTACATCGCTTACAATCGAGTGATATGCTCATAGCAAAACTATCAACTTGTAATATAGTCATTTTCATGCATGTTGGTTTAACTATAACAGGATTGCTCGTGATAGAAAAGATCAAAGAATAAAATTGCATGTAGCCACTATTTTGACACGTGTTGTCTTCAGACTACCTGGCACCTCAAATAACTCAACGTTAAAAGAAAGCATGCAGTGTCCACCTTACAACAGGTTCTATTGATTTACGATTTTTTTTATAATTTATCACACAGTTAGACCACAATGTGTTACGATTCGCATTTTGGTATTCTAAATTGATTCTTATTCGGAATTCTTATATTTGGAGTTGTTTAGTTCCATTTCATGTACGGAAATTAAATCAACGATTAGTTTTAAAGTTAATTATGGTTTCAAAAAAATATCAATCTAATTTGTCTTATCGAAAAGGGGTTCCTGCACAATTTAGTTGGTTATTGGGTAATACGTAGAGTCCATGATGTATTTTGGCGAGTGATTCAGCTGTCAATATGTAATTATAAAATACCTTTTTATAAATAAGATAAATGATGTTAGACATCATAAACTAACAAACAATACGAGTATGCCAATTAACAAACAATACAAATATACAGCGGTGAACTAATCTCGGTGGTGTTCGGTCATCAACAAAAATCCACGAGTAAAACTTATTTATTCCATAGACTCTACATTATTGTTTATTTAACAATAAGTACGTGTTTTTAACAGTTTATTTAAAGGAGCTAAATCGCTAATATTTGGAACCTAGAAATTGATCCAAATGGGTCGCAAAGGAAATAATAATGTAATCTGATTGTATATTAACTGATTTACATTCAATTCTTTCCGTTTTGACTTTTAATTTCAATTCAGTTACGTCCAGCGAAATACCGTATACAGCACAAGTCTCAACCGAATGGCAATTTCTAGTGTCTGGTTATTCCAGTCTATTGCGCATGCTCTCCAGATAAAATATGGCGTGACCGTTTGACATGAGTTGTGGAATATGTCTAGCCTCGTTCTTTCTGGTCACTTGTTACAATTGACGCTGAAACGCACTATGGTACACGATTCGTGTACCAATGGTAAAATGTTTATTTTGTCTTAAATATTGGATATCAGAAGCCTACCTTTTCCCGGTAAGATCACAACATCAACGTTGATTTGAATTGACAAATAATTCGCGTTTTCAACTTGTATTTGTAAGACTTTGGATGATACTGAGTTAGAGACTTAGCTACTTTAACAATAAGACAAGTACAACTCAGTTAATTGACTGCTATTATAATAACAAGTGGGATGAAACTGCCCGATAAAAAAATAGGTTGGGATGAAACAGATCGAGCTGAAACGGTTGTGGGATGAACTGACCCCCACCCTCTTTTAGGGTTGTACGATATTGCAAAAAGGGACGATATCGATATTGGCATTTTTTTCAACGATATAGTTAAATATCGCGATATTTAATAATAATGACACAAAATAAAATAAATATAAATGCATTAAAGCAGTGTGAGTAAGAATTGCTTTATTCATACACTTTAAACTTTGCTTTTTTTATAATATACTAATAGATTTATTAAAATGAACAACACAACATCCTTTTTGGATAAAAACGTTTCAATGTTTTTTGTACTGCTAGTTGTAGTACTAGCTATGTTTTCCATAATTAAATTAAATACAACAGCTAAACACCGCTGATGTTTAAAAAGCGTCTGCTTGTGACCTTGTGTAAGAAAATTCTCAAATATCACGTACAGCGAAAGTAAGTAGATGCGGTCTTCAAGTCTTGCAGTCAAGCATTCGATTGGCTGCGGTATTCCTGGCCTAACAGTGACAGTAATCTATTTATAGATCGTTTTATTCTTGCTTTCAGAAATTAAGTTTCGTAGAGTTTTCTAAAAATATTCGTTTCTTAAAAATATGACATCCTATTTATAGCCTGGTAATTAGCCGCGGTAGTGGGAAATTTCAGGCGTTTAGTAGGCCTAAGCTTTACATGTAGTTACAATTGACAATTTATTGTCGACTAAAAACAAAGTAAAAGTAAAGCATACACGATGCAGTGAAAAACGGCTGCGGACACTGCGCAAGTGTTTCCAACATTTAACGATTCTCAAAACATTAGTTTTATTATAGTTTATACCGGTCGGCTAATTTCCACTGCTGTATAGATAATAGTAATAGTGTATTTAATATCTATTTTTACGATAATTTTTTTTGATATTTGAAGTTTTTGGCGATATTCGATAAACCACTATATCGACGATTTTTGGCCACATGATATCGTAGTTGGGTCTGAAAATACCATATCGCGATAAATGACTATATTGAGAATATCGTACAGCCCTACCCTCTTTAACTATCTAGTACTAGGTTAGTAGTATGTTCTATATACTATAATTCTATATAAGTATAGTACTATAAAGTAATAGTAGTTTTTTGACCATTTTTTTTTGTTTCAACAGATTTGATTATCACAATAAATGCTCAGGCATAAGACAACATTGAGGCTTAATCGTCAGCTATACCTCCAGTATAAATGGACAACTATTAAAAATTAAGCAAATAACGTAAGTGGGAACAGTCCGAACAGAAACTTAAAAAATAATAAAACAAAACAAACGATTCTATTATCACCCGGAAGTTCTTAATATAATTATCACGTGACAATTGTAGCAGTTCCGGTTGGTCTTTTCCGGCAATAGCCAACATGGTGGGTTGAACAATATTAGTCCAGCAAGTTAATCCGTCCTGATCGTCGCATACTATCCCGCTAATCCGAATTCAATAAAATAGGATATGCCTAAAGTAATCAATATTTCTTCTAATATACTTTTTTTTCGGATGATTCATGGGGAATATTCCAATCTAGGCCCCATAAATTTGGCATCCATAGTACAGTACCGTACAACTACATAGTTTAAATTATTGACTGTATTTTGCGATTGTTGAACAATTCTTTTATGAATATGAGTTTTAGTTTTTTTTTATTTTCACAAGTTATTTCAATAAGACCAACGCTTCCTGCATCTGGTAGATAAGAAACCTCATCTATCCACCCTCAGACTCAGTGTTTCGTGATAAGACATGCCATACCTGGCAAACCACAAACGTCTTCTTTAAGCAAAATTGACAACATTTGGCATCAAAACAACAATAGATTATTGGTATTTATAAAATTTCTGCCACATCCAACTGCAATTATAATTAAGCATATAATCCTACCTGAAAAGCGGCAAGTTTTAATAATATTAATAAGTAAACTGGTAGCCGCATCACAATTGTATGGATGGGTGTAGCTACATATTGCAATCGTCCATGATGTCACTTACTGTCATACAGATGAGGTTTCCGAATGAAGAGGCATGTACAATGGACTTTGATGTTGGTTTCAAGTCGGATAATTTAATTTAAATGGTATAGATCTATTTAGAGTTAGGCGATAGTTGTTACTGCATTGGCCTCTTTAAATTAAGTAGTCATAATAGTATAAAATTACTTTATTTTTTAAGATGTTACATGTATTAATAAAAAAATTGAGTTTGCCAGATGAAACTGAAGGCACCCAATCGTAGCTAAAAACAAACACATCGGTATATCTCAACGTTTTTAGGTACGTTCTTGTAGAGCTAAGAAATAGGTAGATCATTGAAAGTGAAAAGAATCATTCCAGTGTGTTCAAATCCTTAGGCTCCTAGCCTAGGTTTTTGGGCATCTCAAATCTAGTTGTTGATTGTCTTGTTCCAGCATATGAGATCGTAGTTTAGGACCATCAATTTTGGTCGTGATTTTCCGGCGTGCTGTCCCCTTAATGTCAGTGGTGCAGATTGGAGGTCCTGACGAGGACTGTCTAGTCATTCGGATGGCACAAAAAAACCCAAGTCATGTATACACATTGGCATCCACACAGAACACACTGCATGGCGTATGTCCCTTTTCATAGCCCGGTCAGTGCAGAAAAGTAGGACAGTAAACCCCAGTTAAGGAAACCTCATGCACTAGCAAGATCTGAACAGATTGAGATTTTATAGTTCATAATTTTGTAGAAATTCTGTAATTTCATTTATTTATCAGCCTCCCAAACCGAAGACCAAGTCTGGAAAGACAGTAAAGAAGGGGGGTAAAAAGAAGATAGCTGATGCCCCTTTATCCAAGAAGAAAATAGATGCTAAAAAAGTTAGAAATAACCCATTATTTATCAAGAGGCGAAAGGATTTCCGTATTGGTATGTATTCCAGATTTTATATACGTGTCGTATGTGAACAAGTGAAATGTGGATATTTTTGATTGATTTTTATTGTCCAAAACAATTTCTCTGCCACATGGATAACAAATTGATGGATTATAATAAAAGTTGCTTTGTATACTCCTCATCCAGCTATTAAGTTATTTGTATGATCTATATTACCTGATCACTTATTAAATTTGTTGTGTACCAACTTGTACAATATTTGTAGAAGTACTTTCTGTTGATATTAGACATAATTTTGATTATTTTACTTTACAGTATTTGTATAATTTATTAATAACATGTAATAAATCTGTTGGTTTTCTTATACAGGCCAGGATATACAACCGAAAAGAGATCTAACCAGGTTTGTAAGATGGCCCAAGTATGTTCAGCTTCAGCGCCAGAGAGTTGTCCTTTACAAACGTATCAGAGTTCCTCCACCAGTTAATCAGTTTTCACAAACTTTGGACAGGCAAACTGGTTAGTAATCTTATGCTAAAAAGGTCATTTCATTGGATCCAGTCACTCGTACTAGTGTGAATGTGGCATATAGACCAGTGATAAGGTGACCCACCATAAATAAATATCTCCAAATATCTCGACAATTACGCCACAAATCAGTTTCACACAATTATAGTCACTAAATAAACGATCATGTTGTACTTAATAAGCTATGACCATTAATCTTTTATAAATAATAGACTGAAAACTGGTTCCAAGTGTCGTCCATAACATCCAGACACTTTTGAGTAAAAGATAGGTTACGTGCCCTTGTTTTGAAATTAGTCTCGCTTAACCAGTCTATCGACCATTCTACGTCTGATTGACAGGTCGGGATAATCAAGACTAATTTTTTACGAAACATAACAGAAAGCTAGAACAAGAAATTGAATTTAGAAATAAGCACTTTAGATAACTCAACAATTGTTTTAAGAAACTTGTAAAAGTAAAATGAAACTACTGCTAGTATCATGTTCTTGTCTAACCTGAGTGTTTCAGAAATATTATTTGTACTAAACCAAAAGATGCGGCTCTTAACGGTACAGTTAATGATAAAGCAATTTAAAAAATAAAACAAATGTAATTTCTAAAGCTGCTGTAATAACCAAGAAGCTAAATTTTACAGCTATTCAAAATCGTCAACAATAGATTTTTTACGGCTGTAATAGTTGATATATTTGTAGAGAATTGCACGTTCCATGGCTATTTATCGACTCAAAGAGAGTGCGGGGTAGTCAGAAATCAGTTCGAGACACGCAACTGAAGCGTGCAGATTTAGCTGTGTCGAGACCAACTTTCTGTAGAGTGCACAGGTCACCCTACCAGTGATGGGATTTCAAAATTTTTTATGTCGGACATTTTACCGAAAATAAAAGGGTATAACTCTTTATCGTTATTTAAACAGACAGATTCATACCACAATTAAAAATCATGTGTCAACAAAAAAAATAGGTGAACCTCACTATTCATATTTAATTTCCGTACAGTATTCAAATTTATATCAGTAACATTCCTAAAAAATTACGCATTTTCGTAATACATCGATAGAATGCTTGCCGACCCAGCTTCAGCATAAAATTCAAAACAGTTATATTCCTTCAAAATTACATATTCCTTCTAAATTACATGTCTTTGTTTATATGGCTGCAAATGAATGCAAAATTTCTGAAATATTAGTTTGTGATGTCAACATCGTTTTCATAATCCAGCCCATTATCAACGATAAGCAGGTTGAATGGTAGTTTTACACTCAGTACACTATATTAATTTTGGAATTTTGAACATTATTCACCATATCTTGATGTCCGATTGAGCATATTCCTGGTTGGACAATTTCGGACATTTGGAAAATGGCATGGGACATGTCCGGAATATACGGGCGAAATCCCATCGCTGATGTAGACTAGAGCAGCACCATTGCAATTTCTAAATGTTAAAAAATACATATCCATCACATAGGCCATTAAATCAATTCAACTCTTTAAAATTCTCCAACTATGAAAATTCCAGAATGTCATTTTTTTATTTTTAAACTTACGGTTTACACAATCTCTTACTAAGTGATTCACTGTCAAAAAAATCTTTTTTCAAATAAATTGTCATCAAATATTTATGATGAGTCTTTATGGTCAGATTCTCATGAAGAAATTAAATCTATCACCAAGATCTCTGAAACATTTTAGATAAACAAAGAATAAAACAGTGATGCAATTAAATGTGTTTGCTTAAACATACATCATGCAAGAGCTAACCTGAAATGTTATCAAAATTATTAATTAGACATTAATTTATCCAGACCATAATCAACTCTCCATGTCATTGCTAGCCTGCGATATTTACTGGATTAGAATTTGATTTGCTGAATTAGAACCTAGAAAATAAATATATTACATGTGTAAATTACAGTTTTATCTGAGACTATGATTGATTATAATTGATTTTATTGCACAAGACCTAAAATTTTATGTGGACTTGTGATTATGCAATCTATCATTTGAACAGAATGTTTCCGTATGTACAAGATTAAATCAATCAGAAATTATACGTACATTGAGGGCCTAGCATTTAAAGTCTGTAGCCTATTCAGTTGAGGTTTCTTAACAGTGCTAATGCCACTGATCAGTAATTATCATGGTTTAGGTTTACTGAAAAGCTTTACAAAGCTCTACTGGAGTCTTGGTTTAATGGCATGATTGGTTTATCAGAGATGAATTTCAAATCAGTTCATGTTATTTGTAGATTACAGTTTATTTTCTTGCAATAGTTTACTTATATCCACTAAGGTTGTGCCTATTTTTACACATGGATTTCAAAATACTAAGTTTGTTTGTGCACTTGAACTTCAAGTTGGAACCATCTTTATCAAATTCTGTTTTTATGTTGATTTCTCTCTTTAACTTTTTTCAAGCAGTTTCTAAAGTTCAAGTTTGGAAAATGACTATGATGAATCTTAAATGATCTGAATCAAATGAGGAAGGTTAATTCTATCACCAAGATCTCTGAGACATTTTCTTTTTCTTTTTTAAAACCGTACATTCATGTGAAATATGGCCGATGTGCCTCCAAAATTATGTTCAGGGTGTCATTTGACAGTTACTTCTGCCAGCAATTTTATTGTGAATATCAGACAGTTATTGCCCTTGATTATCATTATCTGGTCCCACGCCAACAGTTTGAGTTATCTTCATTGAGTACTTTGACATAATTATAATCAAGGACAAAATCTCTATCGAAAATTGTAATAATTCATCACTGTAGGCTAATCGAAACAGATGATGAATTTGCGGTTAAAGCTTTCACTAGTTTCTATTGATTCTGCCAGGGTCACAAGTCTAGAATTAAAGGAAATTGTAATAATGACTTTGACTGGATGCTTATAAAATTTAAAGCTATTTGAAATGTGAAATTCCATTCATGGTCATTTGGTAAGTAAGTTTGCTCACTAATTAGTTCCACCACTCTTCAAGGACATGAGAAACTCTGCAGTATTGACTAGTTTGCCATTGGTCAGAGGTTTGAAAAATGGAGATGATGAATCTAAAGATCTGAATCTAATGAAGAAGTTTAATTCTATCACCAAGATCTCTGAAAACGTTTTTCATACCATAATTAGATTTTAATGAAGTATTCGGTTACTTGCAGAGATTTTCAAGATCATACATGCATTTAAGTCATTCATTGCAAACTTAAAAGATTATCTGAATTCTAACAAATTAACACTCAGTCACTGATCGGCATCCACTGTAGACGCCATCTATCATCTTTGGGGGATTCCACATCAAGTGTACACAAGGTTCTGACATGACCATCACAGATTTTGATGATTTTTGGTGTGCAAGTTAACCATGACGCAAAAAACGTGATGTGCAAAATTGGGCCTTCAGGGGCATCCTAAATTTTAGGCCTTTTTCATCTGACCTTCAAACTTGGAAAATCCATAACTTCGCCCGTAGTAATCCTACTTACATGAAATTGGTATCAAATGTTTCAGAAAACAGATCTTTCTAATGACCGGAAGCGCGAACTCGACAGAACAAAATCCAGGCAGATCATGTTTGACCCTTGAACCCACGCCCTAGAAAAGGGGCAGATTCGATTTGGCCAATTTTTCGTGTGAACATTGCCCCACCTATAAATTACGAACACACAAAAGATAGGTTGCCAGGCAACGAAACATACGCCCACAGCAGCTAAATCGTCCGGGTAGTCAGCAAGAGTTATCACATATTTTTACTTTTTTCGGTAATGAAACATTTATAATACACTAAAATCTGATTAAGAGTAACAACTCATTAAGTAATTATCAGAAAATCATTACGTTTAGTATACGAAACAATTAATGTCGTGGATTTAGCTGCTCAAGTTATCAAAATTCATTGAAAATCAATATACTTGTTCGTCTCAAGACCTTAAACTCTGTGTATCAATCTGAAGTGAATCTGATGATAACTTTAGCGTCTCGAGTGTCCCAAGATTTTTCAAAGTGATCAAGGGTCATAACTTTGGCAGTAATTATCGGAAATCTTTAGACTTCTTCGTCTCATGACATTAAACACTTTGTATCAATTTAAAATCAATCGGATATTAACTTTAGCCTCTAGAGCGTCCACAAGAATTTTCAAAGTGATCAAGGGTCATAACTCTTGCAGTAATTATCAGAAATTGCTGAAAATCAATAGGTTTCTTCATCTCATGCCCTTAAACACTATGTATATATTTAAAGTCATACTCTAAATGTATGCCTCACTTGACATTTTGTATTTATCTTTCAGCACAACAATTATTTCGTTTAATGGACAAATACCGACCCGAGACTGCTCTGGCAAAGAAAAGACGATTGAAGCAAAGAGCTGAACAGAAAGTTGCTAAGGGAGCTGATGCCCCAACTAAACGCCCAGTAGTTGTACGATCAGGTGTGAACACAGTAACAAGAATGATTGAGTCAAAAAAAGCTCAATTGGTGGTTATTGCCCATGATGTTGACCCTATTGAAGTAAGTTAAAGTTTTATTCAAGACCAAAGGGATAGAATAAAAATGATAAAATTGATGAGGTTAATGTCTTAAAATAGAAAAAGGTTCTGTAAGAGAGGTGACAATGATTACAATGATGTTGACTTTAATTTCTTCAACTGAACTTAAACCTTGAGGTTAATCCTGTGACTTTTCTGAGTAATCTAGTTCACCTAAATATTAAAATAATTATTCTAAAAAAAATTGATTTTTTAAAAAGGTAGGCTTCTGATATCCAATATTTAAGACAAAATAAACATTTTACCTTTGGTACACAAATCGTGTACCACAGTGTGTTTCAACGTCACTTGTAACAAGTGACCAGAAAGAACGGGGCTAGACATATTCAACAACTCGTGTCAAACGGTGATACCATCTTTATCTGGAGAGCATGCGCAATAGACCGGAATAACCAAACGCTAGAAATTGGCATTTGGTTGAGACTCATGCCGTATTTTGCTGGACATAACTGATTTGAAGTGGAGTCAAAACGGAAACAATTGAATGTAAATCAGTTTATATACATCAGTTTATATACAATCAGATTACATTATTATATGCGTTGCGACCCATTTCGGTCAATTTCTAGGTGACAAATATTAGCGATTTAGCTCCTATAAGTCATGAGTCAATCAAAACAAATTCTGATGATTTCTGATAATTACTTAATAGGTTGTTACTCGAAACCAGGTTTCAGTGTGTTGTAAATGTGTTGATTACTGACAAAAGAAAAAATATGCAACAACCCTTGTTGACAGCTCGAATGACTTAGCTGTTGTGGGTGTATGTTTTGTTGCCTGTCAATCTATCTTTTTATTTGGTCATTAAGATCTATGTGCTACACATTAATAAACTGTAATAAATGTGCCTACTTTGATTGGCAATGATGTTAAACAATTCCTTCACCTGATTAAAAGTGAAGATAAAAAAATTAACTATTCTCGAGTCTGAGCTATCAAAGTAGTTGACCGACAAAATTGAAGAGGCATATGGTCAATTTCTGTTTTAAATACCAAGTTTTTGAACAGAAAGGCCCAACTGGAATCCCTGTCAGGTACAAATAGAGAAATAAAAGGGGGTTTAACGTCCTACTTTTCTACACTGACTCGGCTAATGAAGACGAGATACAGATAGACTATGGTAGTTGAACTTTTATGTATACCAGATTCTTTGACTATTATGACACTAGTATTGCACATTCTGTATTCATAGTAAATCTCTTACCTGTTGGTACATGTAGTTTCAAATTTGAGTAATTGTTCACATAGCAGTAGTAATTTATGATGGCCAACGACGTCTAGTCTTTGCATGAAGTTAAAACATGGGATATTATGACCATCTACAAACTTATTGACTGTTACAAATTTACAATTTATAATTTTTGTTAAATCGTCTTTCAGGATTAGTCAAGTAACTTGATGGAAAAGTTGATTTCTTTGCACTTTGATTAGCAATGATGTTAAACAATTCCTTCACCTGTATAGAAAGTGAAGATAAAATATTTATTCTCGAGCCTGAGCTGTCAAAGTGAAAAATCCATGTCTATTTTTTTTATATATATAGTATTCAGTTTTAATGCTGCTTTCAAATATTCTTGGTCATATTCAAATATTTGTGTTAGCACAAGCTATTTAGTTAACGGTAATGAAAAAGGGGGCGAGGGCTGAAGGGTCTATGACAGGACTATTAAGGGTATAACATAGTGAATTCGGGTGTATGGTATGACAATTTTTCTGAATACTTTGTTTGGCAATTATGTTAAACAATTCCTTCACCTGATTAAAAGTGAAGATAAAAAATTTAACTATTCTCAGTCTGAGCTATCGAAGTAGTTGACTGACAAAATTGAAGAGGCATATGGTCAATTTCCTTTTTAAATATCAAGATTTTGAACCGAAAGGCCCAACTGGAATCCCTGTCAGGTACAAATAGAGAAATGAAAGGGTGTTTAACGTCCTACTTTTCTACACTGACTCGGCTAATGAAGACGGGATACAGATAGACTATGGTAGTTGAACTTTTATGTATACCAGATTCTTTGACTATTATGACACTAGCATTGCACATTCTGTATTCATAGTAAATCTCTTACCTGTTGGTAGTTACAAATTTGAGTAATTGTTCACATAGCAGTAGTAATTTATGATGGCCAACGATGTCAGTCTTTGCATGAAGTTAAAACTTGGGATATTATGACCATACAAACTTATTGAATGTTACAAATTTACAATTTATAATTTTTGTTAAATCGTCTTTCAGGATTAGTCAAGTACCTTGATGGAAAAGTTGATTTCTTTTCACTTTGATTAGCAATGATGTTAAACAATTCCTTCATCTGCATAGAAAGTGAAGATAAAAATATTTATTCTCGAGCCTGAGCTGTCAAAGTGAAAAATCCATGTCTATTTTTTTTATATATATATAGTATTCAGTTTTAATGCTGCTTTCAAATATTCTTGGTCATATTCAAATATTTGATAAAATTCAAATATCAGTTTTCAGATCATGTTTTTTGTTCAATTTAACATCGAATAACAAAGATAAAATTATTTATGTATTTAGAATTCGAAAAATTGTGTTAGCACAAGCTATTTATTTTAACAGTAATAAAAAAAGGGGGCGAGGGCTGAAGGGTTTATGATAGGACTATTAAGAGTATAACAAAGTGAATTTGGGTGTATAGTATGACAATTTTTCTGAAAACTTTGATTAGCAATGATGTTAAACAATTCCTTCACCTGAATAGAAAGTGAAGATAGAAAATTACTATTCTCGAGCCTGAGCTGTCAAAGGTTTCATCTACTCCAAGGTTTCTGTTGATCAATATTCATGTACCATAACTAATATTGTCAATGTGGTCCTAGTACTATATTTCCATAGACCATATTTTGAATATAATATTAAATTTTTGTTTATATTTCAGTTGGTGTTATTTATGCCTGCCTTGTGCCGTAAAATGAATGTTCCATACTGTATTGTAAAGGGCAAATCCCGACTGGGACGAGTTGTACACAAAAAAACAGCAACATGCTTGGCTATTCCTTCAGTGAATTCGTAAGTATTTCAGTAAAATTATAGTAAAATTGAAAGCAGGTTTGTCAAGTCATCAATCTGATAAAAACACAGATCTTATTTCGTTTAGTTTTTCATAGCTCAATATTTTGTTTTACTTGTCGTCAATACATAATTTTTCCATTGCTAATCAAAAATTAAATCTAACGTTTTTGATTTGCAGTAACTGTGAATTATTAATATGCCTGTCATTTGGGATATTGACACAAAGATTTATCCACAATTTGAAGACTAGAAGGCTTTCTCTACACTCTCAGTGTGTATAAAGTGTCAAATAAAATTTTATAAACAGAACTGAATTCTGTGTGACATTTTCTTCTCGAACTACCCAGACACAATTCATTATACTATATAATACAGGGACATAACTCACTATTAAACCGGAAATGGGGAATCAAGTAGTACCACTCGTGTTGTGAGACATGTCAATTTCCAGTAATTATATCGGTATTCAATTTGAAAAAAATAAATCCAGTGTATTCCCCAAGTAATGTAAATAAAATCTAAATAAAAAAGATAAATGTATTGTAAAATGAGAAAACAAAGTAAGAATTCCCGTAAAAGAATATTGTTTATATTGCATGTGTCTATTCAATCAAATTTATTCGTTAATTTCCATGTGCATTCGATTGAACAAAAATAGTAACACGATAATAAGCAAACAAAATTGTTCTCTAACGAAGATTTCTAACATAACAAAGAAATAACAATTAAAATGAGTGGGGCTTCGGAAGCCACTGCCAAGAATTGACTTCAGACACAAGACCTAACCAAAGGTCTACATCACATTCACAAACTGTCACAGCTACCTGTAGCAGTGCTAAAAAATCTAAGAATGAAATCTAATCATTTGTTATGAATTAAAGTAATATCTTGTTATTTAGGTGTTTTATGTTGAAACTGAAAAACTGCTAATCAGATTTCGCGAAACTGGGGCCTGTTTCACGAAATTTTAACTAAAGATAAAATCCAAATTTTAGTAGATACTTCAATTTTGATTGGCTGAGCACTAAAATCAATCTAATATTATCCAATAAAATAACTAAAATTTGGATTTTATCTTAGTTAAAATTTGGTGAAACAGGCCCCTGGACTTTTTGATTAGCAGCCCTTGATGAGGGATTAGCCCATCAAATGGGCTGTTCTGTCAAATTTGTGTTGTGTCGTGCGCAGAACTGTGGGAAGACATTCGCAAAAGTTGATTTCCAAATATGCTTGTATGACCCCCTGACACAACCTCACACTACAACCGGTCAGAGTTTTGTGTAGTGGAGGCCATCGAAAGTATAACAAGCCGAAACATATACAAGTATATTTTAATCAGTTGGTCAAGTCTTTTGGATGGGGAAGTGAAAGGTCTTTGTACATATGAATATTGCACATAATTCCCTTGACTGTTTAATCTTTTATTTCAGTGAAGACAAATCATCATTAAGTAAATTGGTTGAAGCTGTTCGATCCAACTATAATGAAAGATATGATGAGGTATGTGCATTTTCTTCACAGATCTGTGATACATATTTCTTCCAGGATAGTTGTTGCTATTCTTGTTTCAATTTAGTTCTTTCCGGATAAAATGACAGTGATGAATTCTTTATAAACCTGAATCTGATGAGGGTTTTTAGAGCTTTTTAACCCTGAGCCATTTTATCCAAATGTTTTTTGCAGAAACACTATCCAAAACTGTTGTAAATTGCTTATGGGTTTTATGAAAAAAATTTATCAAATGGTACCAGATCGGGCTTTTTTCACACATACAATCATTTAAATGAGTCTGCTTTTGATTCAGTTTTAGGTTTGGGTGGTCTAGTGTTTAAGGGATGCACTGCAGGTCATGTCTGTTATCTTTGTCATTCATGGATTTGATCATGTAGTCTCCTTCCTAAGCACTGCATGCAATACAATTTTGAAATATGTCAGAATGGAGGGATGTTAAACAAATTTTTGAATTTCTTAAACAGATAACAAAGCTACAAACAAAAGAGGTTGGGGAAATATGTTAGTAATTTTTATGTGTGTCACAAAACACATGTAAGATTGATGCTTTGTAATTGAACATTTGACTACTCTTAGAACCTACTTATACAAGCCTTTTCTAAATGGTACCCTAGGATGTGAATGGCTCAGCAATAGCTATTTAAGGGATAGAAAATACGATTCCCCTTAGTTTGATTGAAAGGTCTTTTTGAGTTGATCTTAATTTCTCTATGCATCAAAGAAGGAAGACGTGTGTCGCTCTTCTTCCATATGGGCAAATTTCATTATCTGTTGTACATAGCCATATTCCTGAGGTGTCTCAAAATAATTAAATTTATTGATGTTGAGTTAAAGCACAAATAAGTATAGTGTAGACATTGAATTAGTATTGTGGATAAAATGACAATGATGAAAATGTTTTATAAACCTGAATCTGATGAGGGATTTTAGAGCTTTTTAACCCTGAGCCATTTTATCCAAATGTTATTTGGAGAAACGCTATCCAAAACTGTTGAAAATTGCTTATGGGTTTTATGAAAAAAAATTATCAAATGGTACTAGATCAGACTTTTTATACGCCCACATTTTCATGTGGATGTATATTGTCGTCGCCCCTGTCCGTCCAGTCGTCCTTATGTCTGGACATCCGTCCACAATTGTTTGTAGACTCTCTACAGGTCACAATTCTTATCCGATTTTGACGAAACTTGAAAAATAGGGTTATCCCCAAAAGATCTCAGCTGCTTTCGATATTGGCATGTATCGGATCGAAACTTCATGGATTATGGCCCCTGTTTGTACGAAAAATCACGTTTTTAGCTTGTGGACCCTATAGAGGTCACAATTTTAATTCGATTTTCTTGAAACTTGTAATGTAAGTTTATAACCCAAAAATCTCAGTTCCTTTCGATATTCGCGCATATCGGACCGTAACTTCCTGAATTATGGCCCCTGATTGTACAAAAAATCGCGTTTTTAGCTTGTGGACCCTATAGAGGTCATGATTTTTATCCGATTTAAAAAAACGTATTATTATATCACCGTTACACCCTAAGGACGGCCGAGTACGAATTTCGTGAAAATCGGCCCAAAACTGACAAACAAAATGGCCGCCGTTCGTTCTCAAATAGCGTAAAAATATGGTATATCAAGGTTGTGGACCCTATAGAGGTCACAATTTGTATCCGATTCTGTTGAAACTTGAAATGTAAGTTTATAACCCAAAGATCTCGGTTCCTTTCGATATTCGCGCATATCGGACCGTAACTTCCTGAATTATGTCCCCTGATTGTACGAAAAATCGCGTTTTTAGCTTGTGGACTCGATAGAGGTTATAATTTTTATTCAATTTAAAAAAAACCTATTATTATATCACTGTTATACCTTAATGACGGCCGAGTTCAAATTTCATGAAATTCAGCCTAGAATTAACAGACAAAATGGCCGCTGTTCGTTCTCAAATAGCGTAAAAATATGGTATATCAAGGTTGTGGACTCTATAGAGGTCACAATTTTTATCCGATTTTGTTGAAACTTGAAATTTAAGTTTAAAACACAAAGATCTCGGTTCCTTTCAATATTTGCGCATATCGAATTGTAATTTCCTGAATTATGGCCCTTGATTGTAGGAAAATTCACTTTCTTTTTAGCTTGTTCTCTATCCATCTCTCGAAAATGTGGGCGTATCCTGCCTGGCAGCCGCTGGTTTCACACATACAATCAATTAAATGAGGGTTGGGTGGTCTAGTGTTTGAGGCATGCACTGCAGGTCATATGTCTGTTATCTTTGTCATTCATGGATTTGATCATGTAGTCTCCTTCCTAAGCACTGCATGCAATACAATTTTGAAATATGTCAGATTGGAGTGGATGTTAAACAAATTTTTGAATTTCATAAGCAGATAACAAAGCTTTTTAAAAGAAAAGCTGTTGACTCTTCTGACTACAAACGAAAGAGGTTGGGGAAATATGTTAGTAATTTTTATGTGTGTCACAAAACACATGTAAGATTGATGCTTTGTAATTGAACATTTATGGATGTCGAGTTCAAACACAAATTAGTATAGTGTAGACATTGAATTAGTATTGTGGATAAAATGACAATGATGAAAATGTTTTATAAACCTGAATCTGATGAGGGTTTTTAGAGCTTTTTAACCCTGAGCCATTTTACCTACTAGAATGTTATGAATTTGATAATGTATCTGGGGGGTGGTCTGTTGGTGTATATTAAAATAAAAAAAATAGATACAATTCTGTATTGATTTTTTCAATCTCTTCATTTCAGATCCGTCGACAATGGGGTGGTGGTGTACTCAGTAAGAGATCTCAAGCCAAACAAGCTAGAATTGAAAGAATTAAAGCTAAAGAATTGGCCCAGAGAATGGGATAAACTATGTACACTAACGCAAATTAAAAAAAAAAAGAGGAAAAGAATGTTTCTTGTATTCTTGTCTAAACTGTTATCTACATCATTCTATTGAAATTGATTTCCCTTCAACATTAAAAGAATTGTTTGGACGTGATCGTATGGGGTGGGGGGGCACGTGTATAGCCTACACATTATATAAATTCTACCAAATGTATAAAAGATAGCCAAAAGGAAGACTTGGATGTTGACAAAATTTGATATGCTATGCCTTCATTATGTCCACAAGCTTTTCTAGTAATGTAATGTCAAAAGGGTTATCCTCTACATTTAAAACAGTAGTGACTATCACTTTCTGAAAGGGGGCAGCTGCCAAATAACAGACGAGGAATGCTGAATATAGATAATGTTCGTCCACTAGACCAATGCTTCATGCGAAATTTGAAAAACATAGCCTCTTTTACATTCACAAAGTTTACAGAAAGGCGTTTGGGTTACTCTAAATGGAAGATTGCGCAGTACTGGATATTGTCATTAAACCAATGCTAAACACCATTTTAAAAAAGAATGGGTCTTGTGGAGGAGTGGTAACTCACAGAGTGTTGCGAATTGCTGAAAAGTATATATATATATATATATATCTCCTCTTCTGACCTCGAAGCTAAACATCGAATTTGAAAAGCATTTAACTATCCCGCTTTGGGTAAAAGGGATGTGAGGTGTAACTGTTGAATGCAAAATAATGTATGGGTAGGGTTCAATGCTCCACACCCAAATTTTCAGAAGATCCTGTTCAAAATTGCCATCCTAATAGCATACAAGAGGTTTGAGAGGGGGGGGGGGGTAAATCTGGAACAGAAGATCTTGGAACGTTGAATATTGACGGGGTTCGTCTTTTCAGGATCCTAATTCTTCCCTTCAAATAGGAAATAATTTTTTTTTTATATCTGTGGCCTATGTTCACAAGCCAGATGTTGGCAGACGTGTGAAGGCATTATCAATCAGGTTGAGGCATAAATAGCTCACACCGAATGCAAATCCAATTAAATACTAAGACTCCGTCATCAACATCCCACACACTTGGACATGCTTTGGAAGGAAGGTACAGAGATAGACAATTTTGGTTATTGGGAATCAACAAAAAATTAGTAGTGCATATGGTATAGAAAGAACTGGGATTTAACGTGGACTCGACACAAACTAGGTAATATAGGGACAAACATATAGTTCAATTTTACTTCAGTAATTTGCTAACACGTAGGTGCCTTTAGGAATGGGAGGGCTGGAAAATTGCAACCACGCCACTTGACTCAAGCAGACCTTTTTACTCAAAAAAAACAAACAAGTAGGCCCATTTTCGAATAGCTGAAAACACAACTACTATATTAGGTTGATGTTTGTACAAAGTTTCATAAAGATGTCATGAACGGTTTGAGATATGTACACAAAAACCAAAATAAAATTGTATACAAAAAGTCAAATTTATTGGTTATACTACTTTTACGAAGACAACTGTATACCAAAAACTGAGTGTTTACATATATGCCATAGGCAGCTGCCTAGGGCCAAAGAAAAAATGAGGCTCATAAAATTTTTGACGACCTGTTTATACGCTCACATTTTGATGTGAATGTATATTGTCGTCGCCCCTGTCCGTCCGTCCACAATTGTTTGTGGACACTCTACAGGTTACAATTCTTATCCGATTTCAACGAAACTTGAAATATAGGTTTATCTCCCTAAGATCTCGACTTCTTTCGATATTGGCATCTATCGGACCGTAACTTCCTGAATTATGGCCCCCGAGTGTACAGAAAATCGCGTTTTTAGCTTATAGACCCAATAGAGGCTATAATTTTTATCCGATTTCAAAAACTGTTTGAATATATCACCGTTACACCCTAAGGATGATTGAATTCCAATTTCGTAAAAATCGGACGAAAACTGACAAATTAGCCTACCCTCGTACTCAAATATCGTAAAAATATGGTATATGAATGTTGTGGACCCTCTAGAGGCCACAATTGTCTTCTGATTTTGATGAAACTTGAAATGTAAGTTTATAACCCAAAGATCTTAGCTTAAAAGAAACGTTCGAATATATCACCGTTACACCGTCATTTTGATTGAGTTCAGATTTTAAAAACCGTTTAAATTCCACCATAATGAATGTTGAATTCGAATTTCGTGAAAATTGAAATGAAACTGCCCGACAAAATGTTCGATCTTTGTACGCAAATTGTGTAAAAGTAGGTAATACGAAGGATTTGGACCCTCTAGAAGTCACAATTTTTATCCGATTTTGATGAAACTTAAAACATATCTTTATATACTGAGCGCCATGGAAAACGCATCACTTTTTTCCCCAAATATTTTATTACTAGGTGGTTTTGTATGTATAATATTATGCAATACTATGAACTATTGTTTCACAAAATGCTCCCAAACGCAAAAAATATCGGCCCGATGCACAAAAAAAAAATTGCACGAGATGCACATGAAAAACCCAATATTCACGTGCAGCATTGTGTGTGAGCCCTTTAAAAGCATGTTTTCAACTTAATGTGCAGTACATGAACTGTGAAACGTCAATCTGTCGTAATTTGTTGTTGGACGTGTGAAGGAATCGAGCTAGAGATGCCGAGACTTACTGAAAATCAACGGAATGAAGCCATGGGAATGTCCAGGGCTGGCATGTCTACACGTGGTATTGCCAGACACTTCAATTGTCATCAGTCCACTATTGTAAGGTTGGTGGAACGTGTTCGAGTTACTGGATCAACACGTGACCATCAACGTCCTGGTCCACAACGCGTTACAATCCAGGCTCAAGACCGCTACATCCGGGTCACTCATCTGCGTGACAGATTCCGCCTAGCGACTCGAACAGGTGCAGCAGTCGTCGGAAGACAAGGACCAGTAAGTGCCAACACCGTAAGACGTCGTCTATGAGAAGTAGGACTTCGTGCACGACGACCTTATGTTGGAGCTATCCCCAGGGATCATCACCGTCAGCGGCGTTTGATATGGGCTCAAGGACACCAGACACGGAGAAGAGTAGACTGGCAAAGTGTGCTCTTCAGTGATGAGAGTCGCTTTCATCTTTATCACGCTGATTGTCGTCAACGTGTGTGGGAACGTCTTGCAGACTGCTGCGTCTTCGAAACGAATCGATGGGGTGGGGGAAGTGTAACAGGGTTCCCGCGGTCCTTGAAAATCCTTGAATATCCTTAAATTTAAAATTTCATTTTCAAGGTCTTGAATATCCTTGAATTTCGCGGAAATAGGAAAATATCCTTGAATTTCAGTTGAGATCCTTAATTTTGTTGCAAATGTCTTCAATTCCTTTTAAATATGAGATTATAACGATAGTTGGTAAAGTTTTGGTTATTTTTAAGATGAAAAATTGTAACTTTAGGCTAAAAAATGTCCTTGAAAATCCTTGAATTTGACGTATATTTATCCTTGAATATCCTTGAAAAAATGTTTGACAAAGCCGCGAGAACCCTGTGTAATGGTGTGGGGAGGCTTCACATTTCATCACCGGACCGCCCTACACATTTGCAGGGGTCGCGTTAATGCTGTAGCCTATCGTGATGATGTCTTGCAACCAATTGTTGTTCCGATGTTTCGAGCGCACCCACAACTTCAGCACTTTCAACAGGATAATGCACGTCCGCATACCGCCCGTTTTAGTATGGACTACCTGGCTGCTAACAACATCAATGTCTCCGGACATGGCACCGATAGAACATGTCTGGGATGAGATTGGACGCCGTCTGTATCGGAGATCACAGATGCACACCATTGCTGCTTTAGAAGCTGCTCTTGTCGTCCAAGAATGGAACAATTTGCCCCCGGCCTTCTTTCAAATATTGGTAAATTCCATGCGACGTCGCTGCACAGCGTGCGTAAGAGCCCGTGGAGGACACACGCGCTACTGACATCTGTGTCGTACTTTTGGTTTTGACCCCTCTGACTTTGTACATCCATAAGTGTACAAATGTGTTGTTGTTATTGATGTGTTCCCATTTGAATATTGTTCACAATAGGAAGCAAAATAAATAAGATATGTTTACAGGATCATTTTGTTATACGAAAAACTAAGTGATGCGTTTTCCATGGCACTCAGTATATCCCAAAGATCCCAGTCCCTTTTGATATTTGCGCATTTCAGGCCATAACTTTCTGGATTATTGCCTCTGATTGTACAATAAATCGCGTTTGTTTTTAGCTTGTTCTCTATCCATCTCTTACAAAATATGGGCGTATCCTGCCAGGCAGCCTCTGGTTAAATTTGATGTTTTACATTATTAAATTCACTGGACTACGCTTCCGACGAACCTAACTCGGTTATGTCGGCCGTTCACTATGAGGGAAGAAGGTCCAGACGGTTAGTGACATAGTGCTCGAGATGAACTTTAGTGTGATCGATCACTCCAACTGGGAAATTGGTCACTCGCTTGCCTTGCATTAACCTGGTATCCGGTTTCGCTTTCATTTTACAAAAAGTTTTTGCGATTTTCTCTTGAAATTTGTCTTTCTTTCATTACATGAAGGCCGCGTCATTTCAACGTAGGCCGGTTCGCCGTTGATATGACCCAAAGGCAAAGGTGTGGATGGGAGAAGAGAGAACAGAAAAAACATGAAGCTGAAATGCTTAAAAAAAAGCTGCTAAACTACGCCGAAAATCACGATGTTTTTCGGCAGCCAGGGACAGGGTCACTGCTCCGTCGATGAAAACACAAATAATATCGAGAAAAATGAGTCGCGACCGACCAGGAGGGAGTGATTTCTGAAAGTGATGACAGCTTGGCTAACTGGGCATATACCTAGTGATGAAGAAAGGGTAGGCGTTAGAAATGCCTTTCCTGTTGATGTTGGTCTATGGCCATCACATATAAAACTTTCCGTGCGCCTCTAGATGATCGTCACTGACCTCATGAGTTTCTATCATGGTTAACGCATCTTTCCAGTCGTCGATACCTTGGGTGCTCAACAACGATCGACTGTTACCAAACAACTTGCAAATAGAGCAGTACAATCTGTTGTCAACCCCATCTCCATACTCAGAAAGAGGGTAGCGCAACCATTCTCGTTCTACCTTTTCACCAGTGACGAGTTTCCGATAGAAAAAATCCATTGTTATTTTTCGTCAATACTTTTCATTTCCTACTATCTCATTTAGTGATGAAATGAGGGAGTATTTTACTACAAGTGAAAAAATTACAGCTTGTCAGAATATAACCAGTGCCCTAACCACTTCTAATGAGATAATAGGAAATGAAGAGTATGGGCGTAAAATAGGGAGCTACGGTGGCTAGGTGGTTAAGACGCTGGCTCGCTAGTCTGGAGTTAGATCCCTGCATTTGCCGAGAAAGTTCATCCATATTTTTCGACGTGGTTTCCCCTTGTCAGTGGTGCAGAACGGAGGGCCTGACAAGGACAGCTGTCTAGTCCTTCGGATGATACGAAAAACCGAGGTCCCGCGTATATATTGGAATGCACGTAAAAGATCCCCTGGCAGTTGGGATTCGATATAAGAGTAGGCGATAGTGCCGCTGCCCGGGCAAAATTTCCCTCATAGCACACTGTATGGCGTATGCCGTCTTCATTAGCCCAGTATAAGAGCAGAACAGTAGGACGTTAAACCGCATTTCATTTCATTGACGTAAATTAACAATGGATTTTTTCTATCGGAAACTCGTGGATCTATTGTTAGAATACGACCCTTTTCTAGCCGCGCACATAGAAAAGTTTGGTATCTATGTTATTGAAAACCACATTTGAGTAGTTTATCGAACTATTCGGCGAACGTATGAAAAAAGAAATTGTCAAAGAAGTACAGAAATCTAAGTATTACTCGTTAAATTAAGTATCCTCAGAAATTTCGTTTCTCTTACAGCGGTTTTAGTTTTACTATGGCAAACCAGTTCTGCAAATTGCCCAGCTGGTCGAGCTGCCTAGGGCTCATCAGAGCCTTGATCGCCCTCTGGTCACACCTGGAACGCTCGAGTGTAATTTGGCACTGCTATAAATGTGACTCTATTAACATTGACAGCATAACATGTAACAGCTTTGAAACATTAAATATTTACCAATCTCTATCGAAGTTAGATAACTCTATTGACTAACTTCATCCATCATCACACCAGTAGACCCAAAGGGAGACCAACTAGAAGCATATCAGGGAGGAAATCGTGAACAAATGACAATTCATCAGCAAACCCCTACATCACGAAAAACAAACTGCTGCAGCGTAAGAACCAACCAATCGGGGTTCAGGGCAGCCATTGACTATATTAAACCTGACATCATCTGTGGTACAGAGTCGTGGCTTAAAGGAATTAAAACAGGTCTACCACCTTCAACTGAAATACAGAGCAGTGAGATATTCCCGGACAACTTCTCTGCACACCGAAATGACAGAACCCCAGGCCAAGAGGATGGTATATTTATTGCCATTCAAAAAGGATTCATCACAGACTGTGAAATAGTCTGGTCAAAAAATAAAAAAGACCTTTACATCTCATCATTATATGATGCCTCACAGGAACATAAGTGACATTAATCTCCTTGTGGACTCTGTGAATAAACTATCAGTTAAACTGGGAAGATCTGGCTGTTGGAAAGATTGCTCCACAGCGAGATGTTCAACAAGCTCTTATAAACTTTTCAGTTGATAATGGACTTACCCAAGTTCACCATGAATGTACAAGAGACAACAACATCCTAGAACTGGTACTTACAAACAATGCATCCCTCATTAAATTTTCAACTAGTGTCCCTGGCATCAGTGATCATGCAATGGTAGTCACCGATATTGACATTATCCCACACATTGTTATCCGGAATGCACGAAAATGCTACCGATATGTGAAAGCAACCTGGGAGAACCTCACGCGTGACTTAACCCAACTATCCAGTAAACTCACTGCAAACAAGGACGATATGGACACAATGTGGGGTTCATTCAAGAATGGTATCCAAACTTTTATGGATACACATATTCCATCTCAAGTCATGAAAGGTCGCTTATCTGTACCATGGTTCAATCGGAACCTTAGGAGTATGGTTAAAAGGAAAGCACGACTTTACAACAGAGCCAAGTCATCTGGCAGTTGAATTGAGTTCAAGGCATTTCAACACAAATGTAAGCGTGAATTCAAGCGGCAGAAGTTTCATACATAAATAATAAAATAGAGGAAGGACTAAGAGCCAATAGTACAAAACCATTCTGGTGCTTTGTGAAGTCTAGAAGACAAGAGAATGTTGGAGTTCCACCTCTCAAACTAAATGGAGCCCTAATGAACAATAGCATTGAGAAAGCTAAAATTCTGCTGGACCAATTTGTGTCAATCATAAACAAAGACACATCAGTACCACAAACACCCTCTACTAATGTGAAACACCCCTTGCCATCACTAAAAATCACTGTGACAGGAGTAGCAAAACTGCTCGCCAACCTTCAAACACACAAGGTTATGGGACCAGATGGCATTCCAAACCAAATTCTTAAAAACTGTGCAGACGAACTAGTCCTAGCATTAACACATTATTCGGAAGTCTATAGCAACTTGAATACTACCAAAGGACTGGACAAGCGCCAACGTCTCGCCTATATACAAGAAAGGGGATATTCACCTACCAGGAAATTACCCATCTGTGTCATTAACCTGTGTATTTGGTAAAGTTTTCGAACACATCCTTTGTAAACACTTGCTGGACCACCTAGACAAAAATGGGATTCTTACAATGCCCAACCACGGATTTAGATAAGGATATTCTACAGAAACCCAACTAATCGCCACCATGCACGACCCCCTGAAGAGCCATGACAAAGGGAATCCAACAGACATAACTGTTTTGGACTTCTCTAAGGCCTTTGATACATTGTCCCATAATAAACTTCTCTTCAAGTTGAAAAACTATGGTATAGATGGAGAAATCCATCAGTGGTTAACATCCTTTCTGTGCAGTCGTGACATGGGAGTGGTTGTGGACGGAGAACACTCAGAGAGTTTATCGGTATTATAAGGGGTCCCTTATGGAACGTTCTGCTGTAGAAAGTCCCGAGTAACTCTGGCGGTGTGGCACGGGCTTTGTCATGCTGGTATGACGTGGGGTCTGAGAGTGTGATCGATATAGCGCGCTGCTGTGATGCCGCCTCCTCTCCCTGGACCAAGATTTTGGAACACCACCCATTCACTGGTTCAGGCCGATTCCACCCCAAACCATTATGCTTGGACCTCCCCATGAGTCTCGTTCCATGACACATTGGTCAGAATAACGCTGGCCACGTCGACGCCATTTTCTGGTCCTGCCATCTGCAGTTGATACGCAATACCGACTCTCATCTGTGAACAGAACAGTTCTCCATTGCCGGTGTCGCCAGTTCTGATGTTGTTGGGCAAACTGTAGACGTTCATGTCGATGGCGAGGGGTGTGAGGATCGGTCCACGGTAAGGTCTACAGAAATGGATGTTCTTTCTGGTGAGACGTTGGAGCACTGTATCGGTACTGGTGGGTCTTCCGTGTGTTCCCACTGGCGGACGCCTGTGGGAAGGGATTCTGCACGCGCTGTCGCACAACATGGCGGTCTTGTCGCCTTGTGGTAACCCTTGGTCTACCAGTTCGGGGGCGATCATCCGTGGCCCGGTTCCTCTGAGCTGTCGGGAGTCGTGACATGCTGCTGACGTTGTAATGTGAATGATTCAACCAGGTATGGGGGTGCAGCATGAGTTACATGAAAATCATGGAGAACACATTACCATCTCAGAAGTCAGGTTGCGTTTTTGAGAATATTTCCTGGGTTCCATTTATGTTTGGGAAGGAGCCTTATTGCTCAGGTAAAGTTGGAGACGCCCATAGATTAACCCAGGGATAGTGGAGTAGAACAGAATGAATCCACTGGGGATACCGAGGATGGGCATGCCTACACAAGCAGCTCGTCATAGGCCTACATGCTCAGAAAATTTAGGAGTAGATAAAATATTACATGTTACCTGATCAGTCAAATCTTATTTTCAACGAGTTTTAGGCAAAATTTCAAATTATCAGGGAAGGTGGGCCCCCCCTGGGCAACGGGACCCTGTCCTGTGCCTTAAACAAGCCTAAGCACAATGGTAAATCTGGCACTGACCCAAATCACCGGTTGATGCGAAGGTGATTTTTATTTATTTTGTGAAAAAAAAATGTCAAATATCGGTAACAAATCAAAACTACGCTATACTGCGAATACATATGAAAGATAAACGGTTTTAATTTAATGTAACAAATTGCACTTTTTAGTTAAGTTCTATGAAGTGTGTTTTTACTATGAAAATCGCAATATAATATGTTAAAAAAATATATATATATTGCCTCGCTATGCTCGGCAAGGATCTATCCCGTGCACCCCCTGATCACCCTGTTCAAAAATCCGGTATCCACCCTTATTAATTGCTACATTCTACTTCATTTCCTTTTCCGGAACATTATTCATTATTTATTTATTTATTTATTATTTTTTTTTCCCGAAACTGCGTGTCCCAAAATGCCAAATACAAATGTCATCAGAAATGCTTTATAAACCTTTATTTTATTTCCACGGTTTCCCGCAATTTATACTAAATATCATCATTTAGAATTGCTCGGCACTGAGCCAAAACCCAGAACCACTTGTTAAAAAGCTATTCAACTGCAAGCTTACACGTCTGGAATATTTTTAGAAAATCTTGTCTGAGCGAATTGACCTCTGTAACCTTTTGCTGATCTAAGCAGCTGAGAGAGAGAAGCGTAGCGTTTATTAGCCAATCAGAAGCTAGGAAAGTATTCGTTCCGTACTGTTCGTTCCTGAAACAATGGAGGCTCACTTGTCAAACTCAAAGTGGTTGTGAGTAAATATTACGACCACTGCGTCGCATATTCGGTTAGTTTTTGCCTAAAGGACATGATTTCATAACAGTAAAATGATTTGGCGATGAGAACAGGTGTAGGGTTACATACCAGGCGATGAAATAATGCACGTTCTTCGTTTTAGAAGTGTGTTTGGCATCGTTTTTTTGGTTGACTGTTCCACAAAAATATTATTCCACATAGTTTACAAAAACATGACGTTTTAATTCCGTCTGCAACTCATATGGTTTCAATCGGCGAGTTATTACTAGGTCAAAATGAGACAGTTGACTCTCAAGGTAACACTTGCTGTTGTTACAGCCATTGTTTTAGCGTGCAGACTAACAGAGGGGTGCAGTGGAAGAAAGGTACTGAATGGTCAAAAAGGAATAATCTCAGACGGGCCAACAGAGTACCCACATTTTGCTCAGTGTGAATGGTTGATAGAAGGTAGGTATTAAAAGTTATCAGATAGTTCAGCAGAAAATGTATTGATTTATTTTGCAGAGACAGTTATAATTTCTGCACCACAAAGGTACAGAATATGTAGGCTAATCAGATGGTATACAGACAACTTATCCCAAAGACAACTCATCCCAATATAAGACAACCCATCCCAATTAAATAAGACAACTCATCCCAATTAAATAAGACAACTCATCCCAACTTTAAAACATGGATCAAGATATAGGACAACTCATCTTAATACAATTGCTTTCTTTGAAGACCACTCAGACTATTCTGAGTTTGTTATAAAAATGTGTTATCTTAAAATTGATATTGTTGTTTTAATAACATGGATATTGTTGTTTTAAATTTTAAGTTGTTTTAACTTTTGGGCGCTCTGTATACTTATAGCGTACACGTTTCAATTCCTTCTTTATACCATACATGTGACTGAAAATGTTTGCCCCAGTTGTGCTGATTGTTTCCATATCATTGTCTGATAGAAATTTGTCAGAATATGACATATCCTAAATTTATGTATGAGTTGCTGTGTAGGAACTGTTTCTGAGCGAACTATGTCCTCTAACAGTTCCTACCGCTTGCTATATAGCTGCAATATGAAAATACAGTAAATACCGCTCTTCCTCACCTCTGTTCTCAGGCTATTTTGGAACTCTTACCTTCTGACAGTTCCTACTGCTTGCTATATAGCTGCAATATGGAAATACGGTAAAATACCGCTCTTCCTCACCTCTGTGCTCAGGCTATTTTGGAACTCTTACCTTCTATTTTTCACCGTGAATGTTTATTCTTCGCAAAAGGAATCATTTCTCGTCATATCTGACACAAATTTGTAATAATTCAACACTATTTTCAAGTAGGATTTAGCGATTAAATAAACATGTTCGAGTCTCATATGTCTGATCAGTTTGTGTATGTTTTTTATCGCAAAATTCTGCTTGAAAATAGTGTTGAATTATTATAAATGTGTCAGCTGTGGCACGAAAAGATTCCTTTGGCAAGTAAAGAAGAATCAGGGTGAAAAATAGTCGGTAAGGATACAAAAATAGCCTGTAAGTAGACCCGAGGTGGAGATGAGCAGTATTTTCATATTGCAAGCGGTAGGAACTGTCAGCAGACATAAGTGGATAGTTGACCAGGTTAGTCAAAACAACTGCACCTTTTATCACCATAGCTGATTAAAATGATTTAATATCCTAATTTTTATCCTCATGGGTTTTCTCGGGGTCCTGCTAAACACCCCTACGCACAAACGAATTATTGAAATAAAATCGAACTATGTGGTAGTCCCGAAATGGCCTAGTTTGTGTTGAGTGGACTTAAACTCTCTCTCTTTCTCTCTCTCTCTCCCCTAATTTATATGTTTTGTACATTTATATAAATTTAACCAGAATTATGTAATGGATGCCTATTAATATTTATAATGATTGTTTATCATAATATGTGTTTATGTTTTATTTATATCATTGTCTATATTTTTACACTGCCATTTTGTTTTTCCCGGTTTGGTGTACTATTGTAATTTTGCCTAGTTGTTAAATGCATATTGCTTTATTGCCTTCACTGAATAACAGACCTCAGAGGACACTTCATTCTGTTTGACATGCACAGTTCATGATTTTTAAACGAGAAAAGCGTATCACCTACTGGTGGCGCGACACAAGAACGATCGCTGCTGCACAGAAACGGTATTGATAAAATTCTACGAGCTGAAGGTCTATATAAACGCTTTGGTTAAAATTACGATTGCCTGCAGAAACAGTACAAATTCAAAATATATCTTATGTCCAAAAATCATGAAACCGTGACATGGTCAAATATCCACTGCGATTACAAAAAAGAGCCAAACATGTCACAATTACCTGATACAAATTTGGAAGAGGGTTGGCCATCACAATTTTTTTCTTTGCAATGTCAATGGAATCAATAGGCTGTGATGTTATTTTTTGTAGGTTATTTCCCAGTTTATTTCCTGATCAATCTGCCTCAAAATCATGAATATTCACTAAAACCTTGCAAAAATTGTCAATTCAAATCAAACACTTTACATCGATTCATGTTATCAAAAAGTATAAATAAAAAGGGCAGAAGAAAACAAAAGAATTGTAAGAGCAAGAGGACCGCAGCACACACAAACAAAACTCAATTACCAGTCTTAAAGGAGCTAAATTGCTAATATTTTGGACCTATAAATTGACACAAATGGGTCACATCATATATAATAATGTAATATGAATGTAAATAAACTGATTTACATTCAATCGTTTCCGTTTTTACTCTAATTTCAAAGCAGTTATGTTCGGCGAAATACGCCAGAAGTCTCAATCGAATGGCAATCTCTAGCAACTGGTTATTCCAGTCTACAACGATAGTATTTATTGCGCATGCTGTCCAGCTAAAAATATGAGGGTCACCGATTGACATGACTTGTGGAATATGTCTAACCTCATTCCTCGGTTCGCTTGTTACAAGTTGTGCTGAAACGCATTATGGTACACGATTCGTGTACCAATCGTAAAAAGTTTATTTTGTCTTAAATATTGGATATTAGAAGCCCATCTTTTCCCGGTAAGATCACAACACCAATGTTGATTAAAATTGACAAATAAGTCGTGTTTTCAATGTCAAAGGTTTTGGATGATACTGAGTTAGAGACTTAGCTACTTTAAAGGGAACCTTAAAATAGACGAAAAAAAATAGGTCTAAAAGCACATATTGTAATATGAATGTAAGCTTATTTAAAATGATCTATACATGTATATTCAATTTTTATAAGCCCACATTGAAATATGGTCATATTTTGTCGTTGGCCCTGTCGGTCTGGAGTCCACAATTGCTTGTGGACGCTCTAGAGGCTAAAGTTAAATCCGATTGACTTCAAATTTATACACAATGTTTAAGGTCATGAGACAAAGAATCCTATTGGTTTTCAGTGATTTCCGTTTATTACTGCTAGAGTTATGGCCCTTGATCACCTTGAAAAACCTTGTGGAGAGTCTAGAGGCTAAGTTGATATCTGATTGACTTTTAATTTATACACAGTGTTTAAGGTCATGAGATGAAGAATCCTATTGATTTTAGTGATTTCCGATAATTACTGCCAGAGTTATGGTCCTTGATCACTTTGAAAAATCTTGTTGACGCTCTAGAGGCTAAAGTTAATATAAATTGTTTAAGGTCATGAGACAAACAATCAAAACAAATTCTGATAATTACTTAATGGGTTATTACTCGTAATCAGATTTTCATGTGTTGTAATTTGTTAATGTTCTCATTACTGACTAAACTTATCTACTGTGGGCAAAACCTACATGTATCTTTAAAAAAGTTATTGTAATTTTTTATCAGTTATGCAAACAGTTCAAATTGAACTACATTCATTTACGCCTTCTTAGTCCATTCAACACAGTTTGTTTGTACTTGTTTTTACTGTAATTTTGTCGTTTGTGAATCAGCCATTACTAAATACTTCAACATTGTGTTGGTTGTAGGATATGTTTTTCTCTGTTCTTTACAAATGACACTCGAAACCAGGGTACACAAGTCGTGTACTGATTTTAAAATGTTCATTGTGTCTTAAATATTGGATATTAGGATCCCACATTTTCATGGCAAGATAACAACGATATTATGGAGAATATTGAGTTCAAGGGTTAGCTCCTTTAAACATACATTATGCAAGAGCCAAATCTGCCTATTGAAGGTCTTTCTTTAGGCCTGAAATGTTATCTAAATTATTAATTAGACATCATTTAAACTTATTCAGACCATAATCAACTGTCGATGCCATCGTTAGCCTGCAATTTTTAGCGGATTGGAATACATTTTTTGAAAAATAATTAAACGTAAAAATGGATAAAACAGCGGATTGACTTTAGATTATTGACAAAATAAATAACGTGTTTTAGAATTTCATCAATTGTATTTGTAGATTATATGCATAGATCTATCCATTATTTTTTTTCAAAACAACTGGGACTAAGATTTTTGTTGGCTTAGATCTAGTTGAAGATGACACTTAATTTGTTACATATGCCATAATAAATACGTTGTACAGTTTTATCTTTTGATTTTTATACGCCCACATGAAATCCCACATTTTCATGTGGATGTATTATGCCGTCACCCCTGTCCGTCTGTCCACAATTTATTTGTGGACACTCTACAGGTCACAAATTTTATCTGATTTTGACGAAACTTGAGATATATGTCTATCTCTGAAAGATCTCGGACCCTTTCGATATTGGCATGTATCAGACTATAACTTCATGGATTATGGCCCCTGATTGTTTGAAAAATCACGTTTTTAGCTTGTGGACACTCTAGAGGTCACAATTTTGATCCAATTTAGATGAAACTTGAAATACATGTTTATAACCCAAAGATCTTGGTTCCTTTCGATATTCGCGCATATCGGATATTAACTTCCTGAATTACAATGTATGGCCCTTGACTGTACGATAAATCACATTTTTGGTTTGTGGTCCCTGTAGAGGTCACAATTTTTATCCGATTTAAAAAAAATGTGTGAATATATCACCGTTACACACTAATATTAATGATGGTTAAGTTTGAATTTCGTGAAAATCGGACCAAAACTGCTGAACAAAATAACTGCCCCTTGTATGCAAATAGTGTAATTATATGGTTTATCAAGGTTGTGGACCCTTTAGAGGCCACAATTTTAATCTGATTTTGATGAAACTTGAAATACATGTTTATATAACCGAAAGATCTTGGTCCCTGTCGATATTCATGCATATAGGATTCTAACTTCCTTAATTATGGCCCTTGATTGTACGAAAAATCATGTTTTTAGCTTGTGGTCCCTCTAGAGGTCACAATTATTATCTGATTTAAAAAAACGTTCAAATATATCACTGTTACACCCTAATGATGGTTGACTTCGAATTTCGTGAAAATTGGACCAAAACTGCCTCACAAAATGGCCGCCACTCGTACACAAATAGTGTAAAAGTATACATGCAATACCAAGGTTGTGGAATCTCTAGAAGTCACATTTTTATCCAATTTTGATGTAACTTAAAATATATCTTTATATCCTATATAGGGGTGGTTGGATGGCTGAATGGTTAGCACACATGCTCCCTGGCTATACGTGACAAGAAGTAGGGTCGCCTGTCCAACCTTGTGGGTTTTCTCCGGGTCCTCCGCGCAAGCAAATTATTGAAATAAAATTGAACCATGTATTAGTCTCAAAATGACCTAGTTTGTCTCGAGTGGATGTTAAACCCCATTTCTCTCTCTCTCTCCCAAATATCTCGATTCATTTCGATATTTGCGCATTTCATAACCCCCCCCCCACCCCCGTGCCCTTTCGGTGGTGCTACTCCCACTTTTTGTTGATATTTTGCCTGAAAATGATATACAGGTTGTAATTATTAACAGATTTGGATCCAATCCGGAATGATCCAGCATATTGTTTTACCTATATACATTGGTCTGTGTCCAACCCCCAGGTCTACAAGCTGGAATTCTAAATGAATCATCTTGGAACTTGGCATATTTATTCCTTATACTGTAAGGATAGCAAATATTTATTTTGATGCATGTCCCAATCCCCAGAGATATGGTACCACACCCACTTTTTTGTTAGTTTTTATCTGTTAATACTCTACATGTTGCAATAATTAACAGGTTTTGTTCAAATTCAGCATATCGATCATTTCAATAACAGGGGCAGTGCCACGCCCAATTTTTGTATTTATCATCTACAAGCAGCAATTCTGAATGGATCATTTTTGAACTTTGCATATTTATTCCTTATAGCATAAAGACAACAACTATTTATTTTAGTGCAGACCCCGACCTAGTGGGGCCGTGTCACACCCACTTTTTTGTTAATATTTTGTCTGTAAATTTGGCAAAAGAAACCCCAACGCCTAGCCTTATTGTCATATTACAGCCATTTTATATTTCATTCTCTTCATTTTAAAAAAGTACCATATCAGTCAAAACAGGAATGTGGACGTATATTGGAGCGTTAGCGATGCTCTATTATTACTGTTGGAATGAAGCATTCTTAGAGCCTTTTACAAATAATCAGTGGCACCTTGAAAACAATTTGTTTTTGATATAAGTGTATATCTTTATCTATTATTTGTTTATTTCTTGCATTTTTCAGCAGGTGGTTCAAATAAATTTATTCATCTGGATTTTAAGAGTATGTCAACAGAATGTTCCTTTGATTTTCTATTTGTATATGATGGGAATTCCTACAGCAGCCATTTATTAGCCAGTTTGAGTGGTGATAGTCCACCTGATACACTCATAGCAAAGTCCGGATATGTAAGTATATGTACATTTAGAAGTGTCTGTCACACCTTTTCGAACACAATAAGCTGCTGTTGATGGAGGTACAGTTTACATGGAATGAGAGTGATGATACTTGGTGTATAGTTTCAGTACATGTACATCAACACCTCGGTTCGATAATGATCAAATTTTGCTCACCTAAACAGAGTTATAACTAAGTAATTTGATATAAAAACATAAATGTGCAAGTAAGTAATAATAATAAAATGTGCAAGCAAGTTAATAATATTAACTGCTACATGTATCTATTTATTTGGAATTAGGTGGGAACATCTGACTTACTTTTGGCTTGTACACTCATACTGTTGGCTTAAAGATATAGTCTCATACATGTACTGTTGGCTTACACGTACTCTCCACACTCTCATCACCCTTTACATCCGACACTCTGTCAACATTTCTGTCAGCAAAATAGAACTACATTTTTTAGCGAATTTTTCTGAAGCATTCAGGGAACTTGTATTATCACACGAGGATTCTTCTTTTCTGCAAAATTGGATTAATATTTTTAGAGTTACACCCTTTTTTGGGGTCAATAACTGTCCACAGTGCTTTAAATATGCTTGTCTGCATGATCAATGTCAAATTTTTCATCAATTTTTTATGAACATTTTGAAAATAGCATTATGATAAGACAAAGATCAGTATTTCTTTTCGACAAAATCAGATCAATATTTTTTAGGGTTTTGTCCTTTATTTGCCCAAAACTGTCATCTACATTTTAGCATGATAGATGTCACAGTTTACATGGAATTTTTCTGAGTATAGATTCATTATATCAATACATTGACAAAGTGCGATAATGCGAATTTTCTGCTTAGGCTAATTAGTGATAAGCAATTTGATTTGTCAAGACTTTGGAACATAACAACTCTGCTTTTAATTGAGGTATAAATGAATATATAGGCGAATGAATAATAATTCTTGCTAAAGCTAAGCAGAGCTAAGCAATTTCATTGATCGATGCTTTGGCCTGGGACAAGATACCTTTGATTCTAACTGATGGAGAACGATGAAACTACGTGTATAGTTTCACTACCAGGTACTTCAAAACTTGACTGAGTTTGATCGTGAACATTTTATGCTTAGTAGACTGAGCATAGATAATGAGTTTGATTACTTGATACTTTTGAAAAAGATAAATGTGTAATTAATTAATATCTGTCATCTGTTTATTTGGGGATTTCGGCGGGGACATCACCCTCCCTGTTGGCTTGTTCAACGAGAGATTAAGGTCTTGAGACGAACAAATATATTGATTATCAATGAATCTTTATGACTTGAACAGCTAAATCCATGATATTAAAAGTTTTGTATACTAAGCGTTAGCATGGGGCAGAACTTTATAAAAACCAAACAAATTCCAATGGTTTTCTGATAATTACTTAATGAGTTGTTACTCTTAATCAATCGGATTTTAATGCATTATAAATGTTTCATTACCAAAAAAAGTAAAAATATGCGACAACTCTTGTTGACTGCCCGGACGATATAGCTGCTGTGGGCGTATGTTTCGTTGCCTGGCAACCTATCTTTTTTAAAGACGAAACGAAACATCAAATAATCACCGCTTGGATTAATCATTAGGAGTAAATAATGACTTGAGATAGGCTTTATATATATCATTGGCAATTATCAATCAACTAAGCATTAATCCAAGACAACTGATTAGTATTACTCAGTGACGTGATCCGCATTAATTTATAGTATTCCGCCATGTGATTGACACTCAATAATGGTTAATCCAGGATACAGTCTGATTGTCCAGGATAAATACGATTAGAATTTTAAGATTTTTTTTACGTACCGCCAGTACCGCAAAACATTATTGCCAAAATCAAATTTTAGTCACCACTTTCATATTTTTATCGCAGATTGCGACTTCGGCGACCGACAGTGTGAGCCCTGGTCCGTATAGGTGTTCATTGTCCCCCGCCTTTCGAAGATAATGAGCATTTTCTGCTCAGGGTAAGCAGAGCGATAAGCAATTTGATTGGCCGAGACTTTGGAACACAATAACTCTCCTTCTGATCGAGCTAGAATGTTCAAACTTGGTGTAGGTGTTTATTAGGCCAATGCCTTGATTGAGTTTGAGGATGAGCATTTTCTGCTTAGGGTAAGCAGAGATAAGCAATTTGATTGGTTGATGCTTTGGGACACAATAACTTTAGTTCTAATTAAGTGAGAGTGATGAAACTTGGTGTATAGTTTCATTACATCAATACCTTGACTAAGTTCAATAATGAGCATTTTCTGCTCCGGGTAAGCAGAGCAATAAGCAATTTGATTGGTCTAGACCTTGTAACACACTAACTCTAATTCTAATTGAGTTAGAAAGTTCACACTTGGCGTAGGTGTCTATTAGGTAAATACCTTGATGTATTTCAAAGATGAGAATTTTCTGGTTAGGGTAAGGAGAGATAAGCAATTTGATTGGTTGATGCTTTGGGACACGATAACTTTACTTCTAATTAAGTGAGGACATTTTGTGTATAGTTTCATTACATCAATACCTTGACTAAGTTTGATAATGAGCATTTCCTGCTCAGGGTAAGCAGAGCCATAAGCAATTTGATTGGTCGAGACTTTGGAACACAATAACTCTCCTTCTAATTGAGCTAGAATGTTCAAACTTGGTTTAGGCATTCATTAGGTGAATGCCTTGATGGAGTTCGATGATGAACATTGTCTGCTTACGGTAAGCAGAGATAAGCAATCTGATTGGTTGATGCTTTGGGGCACGATAACTTTAGTTTTAATTAAGTGAGAGTGATAAAACGCATAGATTCATTATATCATTACCTTGACTAAGTTCGATGATGAGAATTTTCTGCTTAGACTAAAGAGCGATAAGCAGTTTGATTGGTCAAGACTTTGGAACATAACAACTCTGCTTTTAATTGTAGTAGAATGTTTAAACTTGATTAGATGTTCATTAGGTGAATGTCTTGACTGAGTTCAATGAATAACATTTCGAGCTATTTAAGCTAAGCAGAGTTAAGCAATTTCATTGGTCGATGCTTTGGGAAAATATAACTATCTGATAGAGCGTGATGAAACTTAGTGTATAGTTGATAATCAGTTTGGCCCGTATTTTTGAAAGTGGATTAGTGCTAATCATAGATTTAATCTCTGATTTTCTGACCAGCCATATTCTGAAAAGCTGATTAAATTTTAAGCTAAGATTTTTATAAACTTTGATTAGCCTAGTCAGTGAGTAAATCATTGTTCGAGAATACCATAAAATGTGGTATTCTCGAACGTTGACTTGTACTTAATCATTGACTAAATCACTCCAATATTTAGTCATCTCAGGGGGGTAGTTTAAGGATGGATTAAGTTCATGGATATGCAATTACAACGTATAGAATGTTATAGAAATGATTATTTTTCATTGAATTCAGACACACTGCACTTATATTTTGCTACGAAAGCAACAAATTCACATTCACAGTAAATTCTGTTAAAAAAGATTTTTGAAATATTCAACATTCTCTATAATATAAAACATAAATAATTATGTGTACTTTAGTCAAAATGAATAAACTACAAAATATAAATAATTTTTAGAAGTGTCAAAGAACCTTTTTAACAAAAGGAATTGCAAAGAACGGAGCAAATCAAGCTCTTAGGACAAAAGGGAACCCACAGTAGCTAAGTCATCCGGGCAGTCAACAAGGGTTTCCACATTTTTTTTCTTTGGTCAGTAATGAAAACATTTACGACTCTAAAATCTGAGTACGAGTAACAACCCATTTAGTAATTATCAGAAATCAGTAGAATTTGTTTGGTTTCTAGTTCTGCCCTCTGCGAACGTTTACAATACAAAACATTTAGTATCAAGGGCCATAATTCTGGAAGTAATTATCGGAAAGCATTGACAGTCAATAGTCCCCTCCTCTCATGAAGTTAAACACTGTGTATAAATTTCAAGTCAATGGGATATTAACTTTAGAGCATCCACAAGATTTTTCAAAGTTATCAAGGGCCATACCTCTGGCAGTAATTATCGGAAATCGTTGGAAATCAATAGGCTTCCCCATCTCATGACCCTAAACACTGTATATAAATCTAAAGTCAATCGGATACCAACTTTAGTCCCTAGAGCGTCCACAAGATTTTTCAAAGTGATCAAAGGCAATAACACTGGCAGTAATTATCGGATATCGCTGGAAATCAATAACCTTAAACACTGTATAAAATTAAAGTCAATCAGATATTAACTTTAGTCTCTAGAGCGTCCACAAGATTTTTCAAAGTGATCAAGGACCATAACTCGAACAGTAATTATCGTAAATCATTGGAAATCAAAAGGCTTCCTCATCTCTTGACCTGAAACATTGTGTATAAGTCAATCGGATACCAACTTTAGCCTCTAGAGCGTCCACAAGATTTTTCAAAGAGATCAAGGGCCATAATGCTGGCAGTAATTATCGGAAATCGTTGAAAATCAATAGGATTCCTCATCTCATGACCCTAAACACTGTGTATAAATCTATAATCAATCGGATATTAACTTTAGCTTTCAAAGTGATCAAGGGCAATAACTCTAGTAGTAAAGATCAGAAATCAATAGGATCCTCCGTCTCGTGGCCTTAAATACTGTGTATAAATTTATAGTCAATCGGATATAATCTTTAGCCTATGGAGCGTCCATAAGATTTTTCAAAGTAATCAAGGGTCATTACTCTGGAGGAAATTAACGGAAATTGTTGAAAATCAATAGGCTTTTGTGTCTCATGACCTTAAACACTGTATAAATTTTAAACCTAGTACTCAATACATGAAAGAACCAATAGAAATATTGAAGCATAGTAATAGTACATACAGAGTAGAAAAGTCAAACGTTTCTTCTGATTTAACATAATCTTTATGATTTTTTTTTCAAGGTGTCCTCAATGGCTTTCTTTTTGTCAATAAAAAAGAATTTGTTACATTCTTAGTTTTAGCTGTTCAAGCAATGTTTCCGATGTAAGAGATTTAAGAAACGAAAGACAGTCGAGTTCTTTGAAACTTGATAAATGTAAATCAATGTTTCACATTTTTATACAATAATTAATGTTGCTAAATGACATTTTATATGTTGTATATAAAAAAAATGCATACGTCTTGTGTCTCAATAGGTCAAGCAACTCGTAAAACTTTGTTATAAATAATAATTAATAAAATCGCCCATATACGAAGAAAACCAAAATCCCACTACAATTTGGGAAAGTGTGGTATTAAAAGCGGATAAATAAATTAATAATACAGATATAGCAAGTTTATACACAATAGACAATTAGTGATAATTTTGGATTTTAATAGAAAAGAGGTGGCATAAAATTAAATGCATCAGGAGAATAAATGGGACTTTAATATTAGCAACAGAAATTCATATTTCGATTACTAAAAGGGAGCCACGGTGATGCAGGGTGGATGGGACAAGGTTGAGTCGTTTGGATTGGATAATAAACCTAAGTACCGTGTACACATTGGGGTGCACGTAAAGTAACCCTTGGCAGTTAGAATTTGGTATAACTGTGAGCCGTAGTTCCGCTGTCCAGGCGACATTGCCCTCATAGCACACTGTATGGTGTATGTTCGTCTCCCTTAACCCAGTTGGAGCTGAACAGTAACCCCCATTTCATTTCATTTCGAATACTAAACATATCCGAACTCCATTTTAATTGCCTTTTTTCACACATTTTATTTCTTTCCTGTCAACCCATATGAACACCTTTGACTTTGCTGACCCTAAAAATAATTTCACAGACCCTAGGATGGGAAAAACTGTTCTAAAACATGTACTTTTCTAATCTACTACCTGTAATTGGGCCCCTTTATCAATGACAAAAGCCTTTTTAATCACTGATTATATATAATCATTGATTAAATGTTTAATTATAATCAAAGTTTAAACATGAATTTTAATCGTTGATTACAAAAAATTATAGTCAACGATTAGCTAATCTGACTTTTGAGAATACCAAACTTAGTCAACCACTAATCTCTAACTAGCTAGTTACTGATTAGACCTAATCACAGATTATTTTAGACACTGTTCGAAAATATGGGCCTTTGATTGCTTGGTACTTTTGAAAAAAAAAAATGTGCTATTTTAATACTGTATATGTCATCTATTTAGTATTTTAATACTGTATATGTCATCTATTTATTTTGGGATTTTGGCGGGGGACATCAGCCCCACTGTTGGCTTGTTAAAATGGGTATAAAACTGTTTCTTAAATAGTTCTAAAGAAAATCCCTAAATCAAACTTAGTCAAGGTAATGATATAATGAATCTATACTCAGAGTTTCGTCACTCTCACTTAATTAAAACCAAAGTTATTGGCCCTAAAGCATCAACCAATCAGATTGCTTATCTCTGCTTACCATAAGCAGACAATGTTTATCATCGAACTCCATCAAGGTATTCACCTAATGAACACCTACACCTAGTTTGAACATTCTACCTTAATTAGAAGGAGAGTTATTGTGTTTCAAAGTCTCAACCAATTAATTTGCTTATCGCTCAGCTTATCCACAGCAGAAAATATTCATTATCGAACTTAGTCAAAGTATTCATGTGATGAAACTAGGGCTGTATGATATTGCAAAAAGGGACGATATCGATATTGGCATTTTTTTTCAACGATATAGTTAAATATCGCGATATTTAATAATAATGTCACTTTGCTATTAAATAAATTAAATATAAATGTATTAAAGGGACCTAGAAATTGACACAAATGGGTTGCAACGCATATAATAATGTAATATGAATGTATATATACTGATTTACATTCAATCGTTTCTGTTTTTACTGTAATTTCTAAACAGTTATGTTCGCCGAAATATGCCAGAAGTCTCAATCGAATGGCAATTTCTAGTGTCTGGTTATTCCAGTATACATGTACACCGATAATATTTAATGCGCATGCTCTCCAGATAAGAATATGGCGTCGCCGTTTGACATGACTTGTGCAATATGCCTAGCCTCGTTTCTCGAGTCCCTTATGATAAATAGCACTGAAAAGCATTATGGTACATGATTCGTGTACCAATCGTAAACTGTTTATTTTGTCTTAAATATTGGATATCAGAAGTCCATCTTTGCCCAGTAAGATCATGACATCAATATTGATGTAAATTGACAAATGATTCGTGTTTTCAATGTCGAAGATTTTGGATGATATTGAGTTAGAGACTTAGCTACTTTAAACTTTGCTTTTTTTATAAAATAGATTTATTAAAATGAACAAAACAACATCCTTTTTGGATAAAAATTAAATACAACCGCTGATGTTTAAAAAGCGTCTGCTTGTGACCTTGTGCAAGAAAATTCTCAAATATCACCTGCAGCCTAAGTAAGTAAATGCGGTCTTCAAGTCTTGTATTGTAAGTTCAAACAGTTTAACAAATACTAAATGATCCGGACTATCTTCCATTCAAGCATTCGATTGGCTGCGGTATTCCTGGCCTAACAGTGACAGTAATTTATTTATAGATCGTTTTATTCTTGCTTTCAGAAATTAAGTTTCGTAGAGTTTTCTAAAAATGTATTTGTTTTTTAAAAATATGACAACCTATTTATAGCCTGGTAATTAGCCGCGGTAGTGGGAAATTTCAGGGGTTTAGTAGGCCTAAGCTTTACATGTAGTAACAACTGACAACAAAGTAAAAGTAACGCATACTTGATGCAGTGAAAAACGGCTGCGGACACTGCGCAAGTGTTTTCAACATTTAACGATTCTCAAAACATTAGTTTTATTATAGTTTATTGCCGTCGGCTAATTTCCACTGCTGTATAGTGTATTTATTATCTATTTTTATGATAATTTTTTTCGATCTTTGAAGTTTTTGGCAATATTCGATAAACCACTATATCGACGATTTTTGGCCACATGATATTGTAGTTGGGTCTAAAAGTACCATATCGCGATAAATGACTATATCGAGAATATCGTACAGCCCTAGATGAAACTATACACCACGTTTCGTCACTTCACTTAATTAGAACTAAAGTTAATGTGTCCCAAAGCATCAACCAATCAAATTGCTTATCTCTGCTTACCCTAAGCAGAAAATTCCCATCTTCTAACTTCGAACTCCATCAAGGCATTCACCTAATTAACACCTACAACAAGTGTGAACATTCTAGCTCAATAAGAATGAGAGTTATTGTGTTCCAGAGTCTCGACCAATCAAATTGCTTATCGCTCTGCTTACCCTGAGCAGGGGCTTAGATAGCCGAATGGTTAGCACGCGTGCGCTGTATCATATGGTCTGTCATTGAGTCAACTGGCAGGGTTTCAATTCCCCGGTTGTACGTGACAAGGAGTAGGGTCGCCTGTCCAACCTCGTGGGTTTCCTCCCACAGCTAAAGACCCCTACGCGCAAGCGAATTATTGAAATAAAATTTGTGTCGAGTGGACGTTAAACCCCATTTCTCTCTCTCTCTGCCTACCCTGAGCAGAAAATGCTCATTATCGAACTTAGTCAAGGTATTGATGTAATAAAACTATATACCAAATTTCATCACTCTCACTTAATTAAAACTAAAGTTAACGTTTCCCAAAGCATCAACCAATCAAATTGCTTATCTCTGCTTACCCAATGCAGAAAGTGCTCATCTTCAAACTCCATCAAGGCATTCATCTAATAAACACCTACACCAAGTTTGAACATTCTAGCTCAATTAGAAGGAGAGTTATTGTGTTCCAAAGTCTCAGCCAGTTAAATTGCTTATCGCTCTGCTTACCCTGAGTAGAAAATGCTCATTATCGAACTTAGTCAAGGTAATGATGTAATGAAACTATACACCAAGTTTCATCACTCTCACTTAATTAGAACTAAAGTTATCGTTTCCCAAAGCATCAACCAGTCAAATTGCTTATCTCTGCTTACCCTAAGCAGAAAATGCTCATTTTCGAACCCCATCAAAGCATTGACTTAATAAACACCTACACCAAGTTTGAACATTCTAGCTCAAATAGAAAGAAAGAGAGTTATTGTGTCCCAAAAAGTGTGACGGACAGACAGGCGGAAACAGACGGACGAAAGGCAGGGGACAATAAAATTGAATGTAGCAAAATGTTATCTATTTCACTAATCCATTGATTTGAGACAGAATCGCAAGCCGATGTAGCATTCAAATGTCACTTTGTAGTTTGTAATATAGTGGATGATGTCATGGGGCATTTATGATGTCATGAGTCATGACTCTTTTGTTAAAGTGATGCATGTGACGAAATGATTTAGGGAAGGTTTCTCTCTCTTCTACAATTTGTCTATTTCTTTTTCAGATGTTGTTGTATCTATTCAGTGATAGAAATTACATGAAAGATGGATTTGAGGCAAGGTATACAGTTCTAGATTGTCCCAAAAACTGTAGTAACAATGGAAAATGTATAAATCATACTTGTCATTGTGTTGATTACTATGGTGAGGCTTGTGATAAATTACGTTGTCCCGACAACTGTAGTAACCATGGCAACTGTACAGCAACATCCCCCAAAGGGAAAACTTGTGTGTGCGAGGAAGGGTTTATTGGTCCAGATTGTGGCGTTTCCACAGATAATGAAAATGGTTCTCAACTTTGGAATAGAGTCACGGCGGATGATGAAGCCCCGCCACGCACAGCTCATACCGGTGTTTTCCAGCCATCAACGAACTGTCTCTGGATATTTGGAGGATTTAATCTCAACAATGTATTAAATGACTTGATAAAGTTTTGTTTTAAGGATAACAAGTGGTCTAATATTGCAGCAGTTGACCCCTGGCCATCCCCCCGTAAGGGTCATGCAGCTGCAGGGGTCACGGATGGGTTCTACGTCTATGGGGGGTCGTCTTTAAATGATACACTAAATGATGAACTGTGGTTTTACAACACAACATATGGATTGTGGGAATTGATGGCCATAAATAGTACTGTGAAACCACGAGCCCTAACAGGACATACACTGTCAAATGTCGATGATGAATGGCTATACATGTTTGGGGGAAAGACTGCAGAGGTTACTGCATCGGATGTTATGTATAAATTAAAAATACCTGCTGCCACACAGTGGGAAATAGTAAGAATAAGGGGAGGTAACTTTCCACTACGTAGACTTATAGGTCATTCAACGGTATATCATAGAGAATCTCGGTCATTAATAGTGTTTGGGGGGTATTCACAAACAAGCCGTTTAGTGAGTACAAGGACAAATGAGTTAAATATGTTTAATATAGATGATGGTTTCTGGTCGAAAATCCATAATAAAAATTTGGACGATTCAGGGTTGCCTTTTCCTCGCGCTTTTCATACAGCTGTGATAATGGGTAATTATATGGTAGTCTATGGAGGTAATACGCACAAACATCACCATCTGGAGATTTGTTATAATAGTGATCTGTATCTATATCATCTGGGATGTCATGTGTGGCAAAATGACACAATGGGTGAGTAAAAGATACTATGCCATTTAAAAATGCATTTTCGCTAAATTATCAAATTTATTGCAGCCTAATACATGTACATGTACATGTACATGCTAAATATGTACTCAGATTTGATTAGGAAAACAAAATCAAAATACCAAGGCTAGATATAATTTCCATGCTTGGATTCAAACAGATTTAAACTAGGCCCATCAGATTTCTCCACTACCAATAACAGATAGCATCATTTTGTTACTCGAGCAGCATAGATCAATGAAGTTTCTATTTATCGTAACTTTGTTACCAGTTTGGACTAATATTCCTATTTCAGATTAAACAATATTGTACTGTAGTTTGCAAAGGATTTATATAGTGCTAAATGATGCATCAAACCTTTCAGCTAGCTTAACTGTGTGATTTGAATGCAACAAAGGGGCAAATAAGCCAGATTCAAAAATCCCCAACTTGCTACCAGCCTTCAAGAAGCCTTTTTTATACGCCCATATTTTCATGTGGACGTATTATGCCGTCGCCCCTGTCCGTCCAGACGTACGTCCGTCCACAATTGTTTGTGGACTCTCTACAGGTCACAATTCTTATCCGATTTCGACGAAACTTGAAATATAGGTGTATCCCCAAAAGATCTCGGCTGCTTTCGATATTGGCATGTATCGGATCGAAACTTCATGGATTATGGCCCCTGTTTGTACGAAAAATCACGTTTTTAGCTTGTGGACCCTATAGAGGTCACAATTTTTATCCGATTTTGTTGAAACTTGAAATGTAAGTTTATAACCCAAAGATCTCAGTTCCTTTTGATATTTGCGCATATTGGACAGTAACTTCCTGAATCATGGCCCCTGATTGTACGAAAAATCACGTTTTTAGCTTGTGAACCCTATAGAAGTCATAATTTTTATCCAATTTAAAAAACCGTTCTATTATATCACCGTTACACCCTAAGGATGACTGAGTTCGAATTTCGTGAAAATCGCCCCAAAGTTGACAGACAAAATGGCCGCCGTTTGTTCCCAAATAGCGTAAGAATATGGTATATCAAGGTTGTGGACCCTATAGGGGTCACAATTTTTATCCGATTTTGTTGAAACTTGAAATATAAGTTTATAACCCAAAGATCTCGGTTCCTTTCGATATTCGTGCATATCGGACCGTAAATTCCTGAATTATGGCCCTGATTGTACGAAAAATCACGTTTTTAGCTTGTGGACCCTATAGAAGTCATAATTTTTATCCGATTTAAAAAACCGTTCTATTATATCACCGTTACACCCTAAGGATGACTGAGTCCGAATTTCGTGAAAATCGGCCCAAAATTGACAGACAAAATGGCCGCCATTCGTTCCCAAATAGCGTAAGAATATGGTATATCAAGGTTGTGGACCCTATAGAGGTCACAATTTTTATCCGATTTTGTTGAAACTTGAAATGTAAGTTTATAACCCAGAGATCTCGGTTCCTTTCGATATTCGTACATATCGGATCGTAACTTCCTGACTTATGACCCCTGATTGTACGAAAAATCACGTTTTTAGCTTGTGGACCCTATAGAAGTCATAATTTTTACCCGATTTAAAAAAACGTATTATTATATCACCGTTACACCCTAGGGATGACTGAATTCGAATTTCGTGAAAATCGGCCCAAAATTGACAGACAAAATGGCCGCCGTTCGTTCCCAAATAGCGTAAGAATATGGTATATCAAGGTTGTGGACCCTATAGAGGTCACAATTTTTATCCGATTTTGTTGAAACTTGAAATGTAAGTCTATAACCCAAAGATCTCGGTTCCTTTCGATATTCGTGCATATCGAACCGTAACTTCCTGAATTATGGCCCCTGATTGTACAAAAAATCACGTTTTTATACGCCCACATTTTCATGTGGACGTATTATGCCGTTGCCCCTATCCGTCCGTCCGACCACAATTGTTTGTGGACACTCTACAGGTCACAATTCTTATCCGATTTTGACGAAACTTGAAATATAGGTTTATCTCCAAAATATCTCGACTGCTTTCAATATTGGCATGTATCTGATCGAAACTTCATGGATTATGGCCCCTGTTTGTACGAAAAATCACGTTTTTAGCTTGTGGACACTATAGAGGTCACAATTTTTATCCGATTTTGTTGAAACTTGAAATGTAAGTTGATAACCCAAAGATCTCGGTTCCTCTCGATATTCGCGCATATCGGACCGTAACTTCCTGAATTATGGCCCCTGATTGTACAAAAAATCACGTTTTTAGCTTGTGGACCCTATAGAGGTCATAATTTTTATCCGATTTAAAAAAACATTTTATTATATCACCGTTACACCCTAAGGATGGCCAAGTTCAAATTTCGTGAAAATCGGCCCAAAATTGACAGACAAAATGGCCGCCGTTCGTTCTCAATTTATTTTGGAAGTCTGGGAACATCAGCCTCACTGTTGGCTTGTTTATTCTAAATTTGAAGTAGGTTTCTATGTGTTGTTTTTTATGAATTATTGTTCAAGATAAGTCCTATTAAACCTAAATTTCAACATATTTTTGGTGTTGATATCAATTTATTAATCATTGTGTACTGCGCGATTGTCCTCAACAGAATTGAATTTGAATTGAGTCAAAAATTGCTGTTTACTTTTGAGTGAAAACAAAGTTTATGCCGACATCATATTAGATATGGTTCTACAATTTTGTATGTAAAGCATGTATTGTTATTTTAATTTCAGGTTATTTGAAACCAACGAAAGGTCGTTTTGGTCATATAGCAGCAGTTGCTAATAGTAACCAATTGATTGTAATGGGTGGTTACTCTGGTCAAGTTCGTTCTGATTTACTAATCTATAAAGTTTCGCCAGCTATTGCTAGACATGAGGTAGGCCTAGAGCACCATTTGCATGCTTACATCCTAGTGTAACCAATTGTTGGGGGTTTTTTTTTGCTGTTAGCCTAGCAGATTTGGACATATTTGTCCCTCACTTTTTGAAGAAAGCAGGGGACTATTAAAATTGGTTCGTTTGTCAGTCTGTCTGGGGTAAGCAGACATAAGCATTTTGATTGGTTGATGCTTTTGGGACACGATAACTTTAGTTCTAATTAAGGGAGAGTGATGAAACTTTGTGTATAGTTTCATTACATCAATACCTTGACTAAGTTCAATAATGAGCATTTTCTGCTCAGGGTTAGCAGAGCGATAAGCAATTTGATTGGTCAAAACTTTGGAACACAATAACTCTCCTTCTAATTGAGCAACAATGTTTACACTCGGTGTAGGTGTTAACTAGGGGAATACCTTGATGGAGTTCGATGATGAAGATTTTCTGCTTATGGTAAGCAGAGATAAGCATTTTCATTTGTTGATGCTTTTGGGCACGATAACTTTGGTTATGATTAAGTGAGAGCTATGAAAGTCCTAAGTATAGATTCATTATAATATTATATCATTACCTTGACTAAGTTTGCGATAAGCAATATGATTGGTCAAGACTTTGGGACATAACTCTGCTTTTAAGTAAGGTAGAATGTGTAAACTTGATGTTGATGTTCATTAGGTGAATGTCTTGACTGAGTTCAATGATTAACATTTCCTGCTAAAGCTAAGCAGAGCTAAGCAATTTCTTTGACTTTAATTATATCTGATAGAGAGTGATGAAACATAGTTTATAGATAATAATTAGTTTGATTGCCCGATACTTTAGAAAAAGATAAACGTACAATTAATTAATATGTGTCATCTTTTTATTTCGGGCTTACGGCAGGGGACATCAGCCTTACTGTTGGCATATTAATAGTATTCCACCATATGATTTACACTCAATGTAATGGTCAGTCGAGGATATATATGATTAGTAGAGTTTTAAGATTTTTTTTTACACCGGTTCTCAAAAAGAATCGCCAGTACCCCAAAACATTATCGCCAAAATCAAATTTTAATCGCCACTTTCATATTTTTATCGCAAATTGCGTCTTTGGCGACCGACAGCATGCGCCCTGCTCATTAATATGTACTTCGATTGATTAATTAACCTGTAATTAAGAAGACAGAATCAAAATACATGTGCTACTAGTGCTAGATGACTTTCCAGTTGGGATTCAGTTTAATTTAAAATAGGCTCATCAATAATTATTCGCAAACAACAAAATTGCGGCAGGCTTTTTACATAGCGAGCAACCTAGATATTTTAATATTCAGTTCAACATAACTTTGTAAATATTGAAAGAGAATTGAACCATTTTTAGACTAATATTCCTAGTAGAGATTCATTTTTATACGCCCCCATCGAAATGTGGTTGTATATTGCTATCTCCTCCATCCGTCCGACAACGTTTATTATCTGATTGTTTTGAAATTGACATATAATGTTATTTACATTACTGAGGTGAAAAAGCCTATTTAATTTCAATAATTTCCGTTAATTTCTTCTGGAGTTTTTGGCCCTTGTTTCACTTTATTGCACCTTGTGAAAACACTTAACAACAAAAATTATCATCCGATCTGTGTGATTTCAATAATTTCCGTTAATTTCTTCTGGAGTTTTTGGCCCTTGTTTCACTTTATTGCGCCTTGTGAAAACAAAAATTATCATCCGATCTGTGTGAAATTGATATCCTTTAAATTAGTGAAACGAAGAATCGTATTGAATTACAGCAATTTCCATTAATTACTTTTAGAGTTCTGGGCCTTGTTTCACTTTGTCGAACCCTGTGAATGCTCTAATGACAAAAGTTCTCATTCTATCTGTATGAAATTTATATACATTTTTAAAATTAATGAAACGAAGAAGCCTGTTGAATTTTCGCAATTTTGGTTAATTATGTCTAGAGTTATGGCCCTTGATTCACTTTGTCGAACCATATGAACGCTCTAAATCTAATGACAAAAGTTCTCATTCTATCTGTATGAAATTTATATGCATTATTTAAATTACATTGTAATGAAACAATGAAGCCTTTTCAATTTCAGCCATTTCCGTTAATTATGTCTAGAGTTATGACCCTTGTTTCACTTTGTCGAACCCTGTGAATGCTCTAATGGTAAAAGTTATCATCCTATTTGTGTGTGTGAAATTTATATACATTTTTTTTACGCCCACATGGAAATGTCGACGTATATGGCCGTCGCCCCTGTCCGTCCGTCCACAATTTCTTGTGAACGCTCTAACTCCAAAAGTTTTAATCCGATTGTTTTAAAATTAATATATGTGGTTTACATTAGTGAGATGAAGAATCCTATTTAATTTCAATAATTTTTGTTTATTATGTCTAGAGTTATGGCCCTTGTTTCACTTTGTTGAACCTTGAGAATGCTAGTGAGATGAAGAATCCTATTTAATTTCAATAATTTTTGTTTATTATGTCTAGAGTAATGGCCCTTGTTTCACTTTGTTGAACCTTGAGAGTGCTATTACGCCAAAAGTTATCAACCGATCTTTGTGAAATTTATATGCATTAATCGAATTTGTGAAACAAAGAAGCCTGTTGAATTTCAGCAATTTCTGTTTATTACCTCTAGAGTCATGGCCCTAATTTCACTTTGTTGAACCTTGTGAATGCCCTAACGCCAAAAGTTATCATCCGATCTTTGTAAAATTTATATGCATTAATTAAATTAGTGAACCAAAGAAGCCTATTGAATTTCAGCAATTTCCAGTCATTACTTCTAGAGTTATGGCCGATGTTTCACTTTGTTGAAGACTCTAATGGCAAAGGTTATCATCCGATCTTTGTGAAATTTATATTCATTATTTAAATTAGTGAAACGAAGAAGCCTAATTTCAGCAGTTTCCGTCAATTACTTCTAGGGGTACAGCCCTTGTTTTAATTTGTTGCACCGTGGGGATGCTCTAACATCAAAAGTTATCTGCCAATCAGTATGAAATTTATATGTGTCATTTAAATTTGTAAATAGAAGAATCCTATTGAATTTCAGCAATTTCCGTCAATTATTTGTAGAGGTATGGCCCTTGTTTCAATTTGTTGCACCGTGGGAATGCTGTAACATCAAAAGTTATCTGCCAATCAGTATGAAATTTATATGTGTCATTTAAATTTGTAAATAGAAGAATCCTATTGAATTTCAGCAATTTCCATTCATTACTTCTAGAATAATGGCCCTTGTTTCACTTTGTTGCACTTTGTGAACGCTCTAACCTCTAAAGTTATGTGCCGATCTGTATGAAATTTATATGTGCCATTTATGTTAGTAAAATGAAGTATCCTATTGAATTTCAGCAATTTCCGTTTATTATGTCAAGAATTATGGCTCGTTTCACTTTATTGAAAGTTATCATCCGATCTTTGTGAAATTCATATACATTATTTAAATTAGTAAAACCACGAAGCCTATTGAATTTCAGCAATTTATGGCCCTTGTTTCACTTTGTTCAACGTTTGAATGACAAATGTGATTATCCGATCTGTATGAAATTTATATGCATTATTTAAATTAGTAAAACGAAAAAGCTTGTCAAATTTCAAAAATTTCTGTAAACTACTTCCAGAGTTGAGGCCCTTGTTTCAGTTTGTAGAACTTTGTGAACCCTCAAACAACAAGATTATAATCTGATCTGTATAGAACTGTCTTGTGCAAGCCCCCAATTACCTACAAAAGAATAAATATGCGACAACCATTATTGACCGCTCGGATAATTAAGCTGCTGTGGGCGTATGTTTTGTTGCCTGGCAACTTATCTTTGAATTAGTGAAACGAAGAAACCTATTGAATTACAGCAATTTCCATTAATTGCTTTTTGAGTTAAGCACCTTGTTGTCGAACCCTGTAAACGGTCTAATGACAAAAGTTATCATCCGATCTGTTTGAAAAATTTATATGCATTATCTGAATTAGTAAAACAAAGAAGACTATTGAATTCCAGCAATTTCCGTTAATTATGTCCAGAGTTATGGCCCTTGTTTCACTTTGATGAACCTTGTGAATGCTCTAATAACAAAAGTAATCATATGATCTATGAAATTTATATGCATTATTTAAATTAGTGAAACAAAGAAGTTTATTGAATTTCAGCAATTTCCTTGTTATGGCCCTTGTTTCACTTTCTTGAACCATTTTAATGTTCTAATGACAAAAGCTATCATCCTATCTGTATGAAATTTGTATGTGTTATTTAAATTAAGAGGCCTATTGAATTTCCGCACTTTGCATTAATTACTTCTAGAGTGATGGCCCTTGTTTCACTTGGTTAAACCGTGTGAATGTTCGAATGAAATTTATCTTCAAAAGATTAATTATTTGACAACCCTTGTTAACCGCTCGGACGTATGTTGTGGGCGTATGTTTCGTTGCTTGGTAACCTATTTTTCACAGTATTGTAGTTTGCAAAGGATTCTTATTACACTAAAATGTCACAGTGAGACTTTAAAATTCCATGGCTGTAATCTGTATGTCTTTAAATTTCAGACTGTAGTATTAGAAGATATGGATCATTGTTTAGATTATTCTAAAGATGAAACATGTTTGAAAGATCCAGACTGTGTATATTGTAAAACAGCTCGCTTAGATTCAGGCAAACCTGGTTGTGTTCATCGTACTAGAACAGATGTAAGTTTACATGTACCATCAATATCAACAAAGATAGATAAATTAGTTTGTAATGATGGAAAACATTATTGCATAGAGTCTTGCGTGCCCATTTTATGAATGTGAAAAGTTAGTGATCACTTTCTACTGATGATGCCTTGATTTATTTATGGAATGAAAATAAGTTGTTGCTGTATGCTGTAATAAAGCTTCAGTCATGGTGTATTGAGGGAGAAATAACACATTGGGTTTTTTTTCTCAGAATTATATGAGTTAATGTGGCTAGGAATTACATTATTCCTTATGTATTAGACAGTGCAATAAATTCTTATTTATTGATTTTATTCATCTTATTACCACACAGTTCATTCTGTTTGTCAGACTATTAGTAATCTGTAACCTGATCCTGATCCAAGGAATTAAATTCACTTTTAAAAGTAGAGAATGCAGGAGAACTGCACAACAAAACAACGGACATAACACCCTTTGATAATTGTCCCCCGCCTTTCGAAGAAAGCAGGGGACTATTAAAATGGGTTCGTCCGTCTGTCTGTCTGTCTGTCTGTCCGTCTGTCTGTCCGTCACACTTTTTGGGACACAATAACTCTCTTCCTAATTGAGCTAGAATGTTCAAACTTGGTGTATGTGTTTATTAGGTCAATGCCTTGATGGAGTTCGAAGATGAGCATTTTCCGCTTAGGGTAAGCAGAGATAAGCAATTTGATTGGTTGATGCTTTGGGACACGATAACTCTCTTCCTAATTGGGCTAGAATGTTCAAACTTGGTGTATGTGTTGATTAGGTCAATGCCTTGATGGAGTTCGAAGATGAGCATTTTCCGCTTAGGGTAAGCAGAGATAAGCAATTTGATTGGTTGATGCTTTGGGACACGATAACTTTTAATTGAGCTAGAATGTTCAAACTTGGTGTATGTGTTTATTAGGTCAATGCCTTGATGGAGTTCGAAGATGAGCATTTTCCGCTTAGGGTAAGCAGAGATAAGCAATTTGATTGGTTGATACTTTGGGGCACGATAACTCTCTTCCTAATTGAGCTAGAATGTTCAAACTTGGTGTATGTGTTGATTAGGTCAATGCCTTGATGGAGTTCGAAGATGAGCATTTTCCGCTTAGGGTAAGCAGAGATAAGCAATTTGATTGGTTGATGCTTTGGGACCTGATAACTTTAGTTCTAATTAAAAGGGAGAGTGAGGACACTTGGTGTATAGCTTTATTATATCAATACCTTGACTAAGTCTCGATAATGAGCATTTTCTGCTTAGGGTAAGCAGAGCGATAAGCAATTTGATTGGCCGAGACTTTGGAACACATTAACTCCTTTTCTAATTGAGCTAGAATGTTCAAACTTGGTGTAGGTGTTTATTAGGTTAATGTCTTGATGGAGTTCGAAGATGAGCATTTTGTGCTTAGGTTAAGCAGAGATAAGCAATTTGATTGGTCGAGACTTTAGAACACAATAACTCTCATTCTAGTTGAGTTAGAATGTTCACACTTGGCATAGGTGGCTATTAGGTGAATGCCTTGATGGAGTGTGAAGATGAGAATTTTTTGCTTAGAGTAAGCAGGGATAAGCAATTTGATTGGTTGATGCTTTGGGACACGATAACTTTAGTTCTAATTAAGTGAGAGTGAGGACACTTGGTGTATAGCTTTATTATATCATTACCTTGACTAAGTTTGATAATGAGTATTTTCTGCTGTCATGTCATGGCTGAGTTCAATTATTAACATTGGTCGATGCTTTGGGACAAGATAACTTTGATTCTATCTGATAGAGAGTGCTCAAACTTAGTGTATAATTTGATTGCTCGATACTTTTGAAAAAAATAAATGTGCGATTAATTAATGTGTCATCTATTTATTTTGGGATTTCGGCGGGGGACATCAGCCTCACTGTTGGCTTGTTTATTATCACTATGTATATTTGTTATTTAGATGTGTTCTGATGGTAATATACAAGATCTAAAGAGTCAGAGATGTCCTGGAATATGTGCCGTATTATCTACATGTTCAGCATGTGTTAGCCAGGGAAAAGGGGTAAATCTGACAGCATCTCAGCCACGTCGTCGTGTCTATAATGATCCTTGTAGCTGGTGTGTTAAACAAGCAGTCTGTCAGACAAGAGCAGGTACATGTAACTTCATTTTAGCATGATTTAATTTTCACAGGTCTTGAAACTCGACTGGTTTCCCACTTGTCAGTGGTAGCTTCTCTGTGGCTTACTTATATGGTAGTTAATGACACAAGTTTATTATTTAACAGGAAATAAGTATAGATAAAAATTGCCATTCAAAGAAATATATGGTTATATCAGATAACACATGGTTAGTTTTTCTCCTGCACTTATAGTATTAGTAATAAAACTTACTTTCTTTTAAAATGTGTCGATGAAATATTCTGCCAGGTTATAGTAGGGCTAATTACTGTCTTATATCAGTCAAATATATTTATGTTAATTTGTTATTTTTAGTGTATAAAACCATGTAACTTCTGATAAAAGTATATGTCACTCAAACTCAAAATTACAAACATGTAAAGATTTGTGAGAACAGGCTTACCCTACATAAATGTAAACATAAGCTAACTATATTTGAACCAGAACATCTGACAAGTAACAGTAGTAGAGATAAAGGTGAATGGTTTCAGATTCTGATCTGTACTGATATTGGAGCTATGATATTTATACACCCACATGGAAATGTGAGAAACTGCCAAACAATAGAAATAGGCGACACAAACCAATGGCGGATGGCTTGATGGGATCACTCTCGATAATCAAAATGATGCATTTGATATCCAGTTGAGACATAATGAAAGAACCAGATAAAGATTTATGATAATATATCCTAATATGTCAAAAATGTGTATTTGGGAGGTACAATGATCAGGATCTGGCTAGCACCCCTCAGAATGTAAACTTAAAATGGCCATAAATTTTTGGTACAAGAATGTGTTTTAATAAAAGTACTTTTTATTTGTGTATGCTCTTAAACTCTATATTTAACATTTAATCTGGCATGTTGGAACTGGAAAAGTGTATTTATGACTTTTATACTGAAATTGAGTTTAATTTCGATCGATAGGTACATGCGTTATTTTATCATCATATTCTTTTATTTCAGTGCCACAAGGTACATGTTTAGCAGCAGAGAATACATCATCTGGTATACAGGGATGGTGGGAAGGTTTAAGTGCTAGCTTAACAACTCATCAACAATGTCAACTGGAGGATTACCCAGCAGGTTTACATTGGATAGAATATAGATTCCCAATGAACAAAACTTATCCAGATCATGTAAGTTCATTTAAATAGTTGTGTCAATTAAAACGGATGGAATTTGATCAGCCCTTTGACTTTTATGAAATTTTCACATGTTGTTTACATTAGTGAGCTGAAGAAGCCTATTTAATTTCAATAATTTCCATTTATTTTTCTAGATTTATGGCCCTTGTTTCACTTTGTTGAACCTTGTGAACACTCTAACGCCAAAAGTTATCATCTAATCTTTGTGAAAGATCATTTAAATAAATAAAAAGAAGAATCCTATTGAATTTCAGCAATTTCTGTTTATTTCTACTAGAGTTATGGCCCTTGTTTCACTTTCTTGCACCTTGTGAAGTCTTGAATGCCAAAAGTTATCATCTTATCGTTGTGAAAGATCATTTAAATTAGTAAAAATTAGAAGCCTATTGAATTCAGCAATTTCTGTTCATTACTTCTAGAGTTATGGCCCTTGTTTCACTTTGTTGCACCTTGTGACTGTTCTAACGCCAAAAGTTATCATCCAATCTTTGTGAAATTTATTTGCATCATTTAGATTAGCGAAACCATGAAACCTATTGAATTTCAGCAATTTACAATAATTTCTTCTAGATTTATGGCCCTTGTTTCACTTTGTTTAACCTTGTTAATGCTCAATTGATGAAAGTTTTCATCCGATATGTATGAAATTTATATGCATCAATTTAAATTTGTGAAACAGAGTTCTATTGATTTGCAGCAATTTCCGTCAATTATTTCTAGAGTTATGGCCCTCGTTTTACTTTGTGACCTTGTGAACTTTCCAATGACAAAAGTTATCCTATCTTTATGAAATTTATATGCATTATGTAAATTATTAAAACGAAAAAGCATGTCGAATTTCAAAATTTTCTGTAAATTACTTCCAGAGTTAAGGCCCTTGTTTCAGTTTGTAGAACCTTGTGAACCCTCAAATAACAAAAATTATAATCTGATCTGTATGAAACTGTCTTTTAAAGGCCCCCAATTACTTACAAAAGAATAAATATTCCACAATCCTTGTCGATTTAGCGGCTGTAGGTGTATAGTTTGTTGCCTGGCAACCCATCTTAATATCAGATACGTTATTCTTTCTGAATATTAACAATGTGTGTTTTTCAAGGACAAGATAGGAAAAAAATGGCCTGTTGGACGTAATTGAGTATTATGTGTCAGCCACTCAGTCAGTGAGCATCAGATAGTATAAATTATTTTGCTCAAGACACATTCATATCTTTATTCATATTCATGTATTTTATTAAAATTTGTATTGATTGTTTCAGTTGAGTATTGTCCGTCAGACAGAACAAACGTTAAAGTTTCGCTATAATTTTATGAGTGAGATAGAGAATGATTTTACCTATACTGGTAGAATGATTGGTTTTATACATCCATTAAATGCCCCACCACCACCAGGAAAATCTCTCTTACGTCTACACATGAAGATGCGAGGAGGACAGACATCCTTATATCTTAGTCGAACAAATGTCACAGTTAAACCAGTAAGATATTATTTCATCTATTTCTTATGATTAGAGGGTTTGGAATGGTCCCCCCAATAGTTGATTCCAGGTATGATTACTCCCATTAATTGATCTTTCTAGGTCAGAATCCATTAATGAATTGTTCTAAATTATCTTACACAAACCACTTTGCAATAAATTTATACCCGGTGGATATAGAAATATAACTTTCGGCACAAAAGATGGTTTAAGTGGGTTTCACAGGGATTGATTTTTGAGGGGCACTCCTTCGCGCTTCTCATTTCAAAGTAAGGAGTATGGTAATTAAAAGTGTGCGCCAGGGATGCTATTTTGCCTGTATATTCCAGACATGCCCTACGCTATCGGACATCAAGATATGGTAAATAATATTACGAACGAATTTGAATATTTTGTCAACACATGATTTTTAATTGTGGCCTGATACCACCTACCAGTAACCAGATGTGACCAATGTAGACATTTGTACTATTCGTAGTACCATAGATTCACACAAGATTGAAAAAGATTGTCATTCCGGTAGCCTATTTTCTTTGGACGAATTTCATCTTGTTTATCAGGAAGCATGTTGACATTCCTTAAATTAAAACCAACTCCATAGACAAAGGGGTGGGGTTGGGGGGTTGGATGGCCGAATGGTTGAATGGTTGGGGCGTCTGTCTTTGAGTCAACTGGCTTCTCCATTTGAATGTGGTTGCATATTGCTGTCGCCCCCGTCCGTACATATGTACGTCAGTCCGTCATTCGCAATTTCTTGTGAACAATCTACAGAATGCTCTAATGACAAACAGTTATCCTCTAATCTGTTTGAAATTTATATGCATCACTTAAATTAGTAAAACGAAGAATCATATTGAATTTCAGCAATTTCCATTAATTTCTTCTGGAGTTCTGGCACTTGCTTCTCTTTGTTGCACCTTATGAACACTCTAACAACAAAAGCTATTATCCGATATGTATGAAATTTATGTGCATCAAAAAAGCCTATTGAATTTCAGCAATTTCCAGTAATTACTTCTAAACTTGTTTTACTTTGTTGAACTAAAAATATCATCCGATCTATATCAAATTTATATGCATTATTTGAATTAGTAAAACGAAAAAGCCTGTCGAATTTCAACAATTTCTGTAAATTACTTCCAGAGTTACAGCCCTAGTTTCAGTTTGGTAAACCCTCAAACGACAAAAATTAGAATCTGATTTGTATGGAATTGTCTTGTAAATGCCCCCAATTATCTACAAAAGAATATATATGCAACAACCCTTGTCGACCGCTCAGCCGATTTAGCTGCTATGGGCTTATGTTTCGTTGTCTGGCAACTTTTTTTAAAATTAAAACATTAAATGGCCAAACTGGTCTAATCTACTTAAAATTGGAGCCATCCGATGGCATCGAGAGTTGATTATGGTCTTGTCATGTTAATAAATGTCTAATTTAAATTAATAAATTATATAACATTCTAGGGCCCAAAAAAAGACCTGCAATAGGCAGGTTTAGCTCTTACAAAATGCCTGTTTAATGATAATTGATCCTAAACACAGCCAATTCCCTGTTCTATTTTGGATGATCCATTGCAAACAATTATTGGTGTTGAAATTTGTGGGATTCTTCAGTGATATTCACTGCAGATGACAGCTAACTAGATTGAATCAGTCTGATAGAACAGAAGTTGATTATTAAAATAATTTTCCAGAATTGTATTTTACGATTTTATTTTATGGAAAATTTCTTTACTTTAAAACTTTTGTTCGTATTTCAAAGTAGTTTAATAATGATTCGTTTGCCACTAAACTGCTGTGTCCTTTATTCCAGGAATTAGTATTATCGTTATCATCACAAATGAAATATAATGATTTGTTTTCCAGGAATTAGTATTATCGTTATCGTCACAAATGAAATATAATGAGAGTGAGGCCAGAAGACTTGACGGAAGTGCATTATTTCCAAACATTGCACGAGGCAATAAATATTTTGTTGAAGTCGTCTTGAAACATCATGTTAAAAAGGAACAGGGAAAAAACGACAATTACCCACAGAGTAACATCAAACTAGAATGGAATGGTGCGTTAAAATCACTCACTCAGCAATCTCTGACGTCTGAGTTTTTACAGCCATATAGCGGAGAAAGTTGTTCAATACATTATAACTGTGTGGCGTGTTTAACTGATACATCATGTGGATGGTGTAATGCCTTACGGACCTGTATGGATAGAGATGATTTAACTGTAACAGCTGTCTGTGCTAATCTAAGTTCCATACAATTTCTAATAACAACACCCAGTCAGTGTCCCAAATGTGATGATTATGTGGAATGTAAGGCATGTACCAGGGTAAGCATATTTTCAACAGATGTGATGATTATTTGAAATGTAATCATCTACAGGCATTATTATTTAAAACAGATTTAAATATTTTAATGCAAAACCAAAGATCAGTCAGCAATTTAAAAAGACACAAGATCAAATGTCGTAAGAGACCGTGACATCAAGAATAAGGAAGTCACTTGACCATATAGCTATTTAGTTCAGTTTTCACGCCCGTGGATATTTTCTTTCATTCTCTTTCTTATAAAGTAACTCATTTTTTTCATGTATTTCACATGTTAAATAAGTTTTAAGACCTGATTGTGATATACGATAATGGCAAAGTTAATTGAATTGGCATTTAAATGATGTGACAAAACAATTTAAAAACGTCTTTTCCCGAATCCGAAACATGGTTTGTGGTCTCTGGATTTGTTTTCTTTCTTTTTATTTAAATAAAGATATTTTAAAATTGATAATTTACCCCAAATTGATAATTTTACAATATAGAGACAAATGGACTCTCTCTTTTAAGAAATTGACTTGTTAAACACTATGATTATTGATTGTTTATTTTCTATAAATTATAATAGGATAATTTGTGCGAATGGATATCACCAAATGGCCATTGTACCAGAAGACATCGTATACCAGGTGCTGTTTTAGATCCTGATCATTGTAGAGCACCATGTGAAAGGTAATTTTTATTTTGCCATGAATACTGTATGAGCGGCAGATACAGTACTCACTTTATCTACGCCCACATAGAAATGTGGTTGTTTATTGCTGTCTCTTCTGTACGTCTGTAGGTCCCTCCATCGTCCACAATTTCTTGTGATCACTCTACAGACAACTATTATTGTTTACATTAGTGATACGAAAAAATCTTTTTAATTTCAACAATTTCCATTAATTACTCCTAGAGTTATGCATTATTTTAATTAGTAAAACGAAGAAAGCTATTGAACTTCAGTAATTTCCGTTAATAACTTCTAGAGTTATGGCCCATTGTTTCACTTTGTTGAACCTTATTAAATTTATGTATGCATTATCTAAATTTGTAAATCATAGAAGCCTTTTGATTTTCAGCAATTTCAGTTAATAACTGATAAGAGTTATGGGTCCTTGTTTCGACAAGAGTTATCATCTGATCTATATGAAATTTATATACATTATTTAGATCAGTAAACCAGAAAAGCCTATTTGAATTTCAACAATTTCTGTTAATTACTTCTAGAGTTATTGTCCTTGTTTCATTTTGTTTGACTTTGTGAACACTGTAACAGTTAAAGTTATCTTCCGATCTGTATGAAATTTACTTGCTTTATTTAGATTAATAAAACAAAGAAGCCTGTTGAATTTTCGTTAATTACTGCTAGAGTTATGGCCCTTGCCTTACTTTGTTGAACATTGTGAACGCTCTATCTCGTGACTAAAGTTATCTGTATTAAATTTATATGCATTATTTAGATTAGTAAAACAAAGAAGCCTATTGAATTTCAGCAATTTCTGTTCATTAAGTCTAGAGTTTCGCTTTCTTGAGCCCTGTGAACGCTCTAACGACAAAAGTTATCATCCGATTTGTATGAAATTTATATGCATTATTTAAATTAGTAAAACGAAAAAAGCTGGAATTTCAACAATTTTTGTATATAACTTACTGAGTTAAGGGCCTTGTTTCAGTTTGTAGCACCTTGTGAACCCTCAAAGGACGAAAATTATAATCTGATCTGTATTAAATTGTCTTGTAAATGCCCCTCATTACCGACAAAAAATTAAATATTTGCTGTGGGCGTATGTTTCATTGCCTGACAACCTATCTTTAGGCTTTCTGGACTATAGTAAGACAAGGATGTTGAGCTAACACCTGTGAGAGAGTTATAAGGCTAAATATAAATTCAAAGTTGGAACACCCTCTCTATCAGATAAAATCAAAGTTATCTTGTACCAAAGCATCAACCAAAGTTGGAACACCCTCTCTATCAGATAAAATCAAAGTTATTTTGTACCAAAGCATCAACCAAAGAAATTGTTTAGCTCTGCTTAGCTTTAGCTTGAAATGTTAATCATTGAACCCAGTCAAGACATTCACCTAATAATCTACATCAAGTTTAAACCTTCTACCTCGATTAAAAGCAGAGTTGTTATGTTCGAAAGTCGTGACCAATCAAATTGCTTATTGCTCCTTATCCTAAGCAGAAAATTCTCATCATTGAACTTAGTCACGGTAAATGATATGATGAATCTATACTCGGAGTTTCATCACTCTCACTTACTTATAACCAAAGTTATCATGCCCCAAAGCATCAACCAATCAGATTGCTTATCTCTGCTTACCGTAAGCAGACAATGTTTATTCCAAACTCCATCAAAGGCATTCACCTAATAAACGCCTACATCAAGTTTGAACATTCTATCTCAATTAGAAGAAGAGTTATTGTGTTCGACCAATCAAATGCTCATTATCAAACTTAGTCAAGGTATTGATGTGATAAAACTATACACCAAGTTTCCTCACTCTCACTTAATTTTCCCCCGCCTTTCGAAGAAAGCAGGGGAATATTAAAATGGGTCCGTCCGTCTGTCTGTCTGTCTGTCTGTCACACTTTTTGGGACACAATAACTCTCCTTCTAATTGACGTAGAATGTTCAAACTTGGTGTAGGTGTTTATTAGGTCAATGCGTTGATGGAGTTCGAAGATGAACATTTTCTGCTTATGGTAAGCAGAGATAAGCAATTTGATTGGTTGATGCTTTGGGACATGATAACTTTAGTTCTAATTAAGTGAGAGTGATGAAACTTGGTGTGTAGTTTCATTACATCAATACCTTGACTAAGTTCGATAATGAGCATTTTCTGCTCAGGGTAAGCAGAGCGATAAGCAATTTGATTGGCCGAGACTTTGGAACACAATAACTCTCCTTCTAATTGAGCTAAAATGTGCAAACTTGGTGTAGGTGTTGATTGGGACAATGCCTTGATGGAGTGTGAAGATGAGCATTTTCTGCTTAGGGTAAGAGATAAACAATTTGATTGGTTGATGCTTTGGGACACAATAACTTTAGTTCAATTAAGTGAGAGTGATGAAACTTAGTGTATAGTTTCATTACATCAATACCTTGACTAAGTTCGATATTGAGCATTTTCTGCTCAGGGTAAGCAGAGCGATAAGCAATTTGATTGGCCAAGACTTTGAAACACAATAACTCTCCTTCTAATTGAGCTAGAATGATCAAATTTGGTGTAGGTGTTTATGAGGTTGATGCCTTGATAGAGTACGAAGATGAGCATTTTTCTGCTTATGGTAAGTAGAGATAAGCAATTTGATTGGTTGATGCTTTGGGACACGATAACTTTAGTTCTAATTAAGTGATAGTGATGAAACATGGTGTATAGTTTCATTACATCAATACGTTGACTAAGTTCGATGATGAGAATTGTCTGCTTCACTAAGGAGCAATAAGCATTTTGATTGGTCAAGACTTTGGAACATAACAACTCTACTTCTAATCGAGGTAGAATGTTTAAACTTGATGTAGATGTTCGTCTTGACTGAGTTCAATGATTAACATATCGAGCTAAAGTTAAGCAGAGATAAGCAATTTCCTTGGTCGATGCTTTGGGACAAGATAACTTTGATTCTATCTGATAGAGAGTTCAATGATTAACATATCGAGCTAAAGCTAAGCAGAGATAAGCAATTTCCTTGGTCGATACTTTGGGACAAGATAACTTTGATTCTATCTGATAGAGAGTGATGAAACTTAGTGTATAGTTGATAATCAGTTTGATTGCGCGATACTTTTGAAAAAAAATAGATGTGCGATTAATTAATATGTGTCATCTATTTATTTGGGGATTTCGGCGGGGGACATCAGCCTCACTGTTGGCTTGTTAGAACTAAAGTTATCGTGTCCCAAAGCATCAACCAATCAAATTGCTTAGCTCTGCTTACCCTAAGCAGAAAATGCGCATCTTCGAACTCCATCAAGGCATTCACCTAATAAGGCTGACCTTAAAAATATCTTTGTTTCACCAAACCCGACCCACAATCGAGGAGAAGGGTCGGTAGGTCGGGGGTTTTTTTTTCAGATTTTTTTTTAAGAGCTAATTTGACAGAATGATAATTTTCCGGGTGCAAACATTCGTCTTCTTTTATTGTCAAACAAATCAATGACATCGGGATTTTTCGTGATGCACGACTCGCACACGAATTGCCAGAAACTGACGTTTGAAACTCCCTCAACACGTTTTTTAACGATCGTGCGGGTTGTGCCTTCATTTTTCTCGAAAACGGATATTCAATATCCGTTTTCGAGGAAAATAGAGGCAGAATCATTTCGTGGGAATGGACGTGCTTTCGTCTACAACCATTTTGTTGAGAAGCGACACCTATGATGCTTTCGTCTTGATCAACCAGTTTCAATAATGAATCAAACCATAGCCATAGTAAAGGGAAATAACTCTCGTGATATATTTCAGGTTGACACACAAAATAAAATAAAAAGATCGCGGAAAAGTGCAATAAAATAATTTAAGTCGGGGGTGGTTTTAGTTAGTCGGTCGCG